GGGTGGCCAGGACCGCGAAGGGGAGCCAGACCGACGGGAGAGCGGGGCGGAGGGGGGGGAGTCGAGGGCGGCGGCACCCCTCCCCGCTCGGCCGCTTTCCTTTCCCCTCTTTTTGTTGTTTTTGCCCCTAGCGAAGCTCCCCCCCCAGGTGCCCAGAGAGCGCTTGGGAAAATCCCTCCCCCTTCTTCCCCCCCTCCCCAAAGCAACCAGAACGGACTTGCCGCCGCCGTCGTTGCTACTTCGGCGGGGAAATGGGAAGAGCGGGGGAGGTGGGGGGGCGTGCGAGGGAGAGATCAATGTTGTGTCTCTTGCGCCTTGTTTTCCACCCGATCAAAGGCGGGAAGGAGCGGGCGGGCGTGATTGCATAATGTTCCCTCCGCCCCGGGAGGCCGGCCGGCTGGTGGGGCGCCAGACGGCCCGACTCTTCCAAGGGCAGACCAGCTGCGCCCTGCCTGCTCCGGGTTGCCTTCCCCCAAAGCGACGGAAGGTCTCCTCGCCTCCTCAAGCGTTCCCCTCCCTCTCCCGCTCCCCAGCGCGCCCACACAGACCTCCCCAAATAGGTAAACCCACCCCCCAAATATGGCCTTTTCTTTCCTCCCTCCAGACCACCGATCCCCGCACGCCACCTCCCCGCCCCTTCGGGGGTCGAACCCCATAAAGTGCGTTCTCCGGTTGACTCCCCCTGACAGCGAGAACGGCCCCTGGAAAGCCCGCTCGCTCTCCCTCGAATGACCAGGAGCACGTGTGACTCGGTGAGGAAGAATAAATAAAATAGACTGACCCCGGGCCCGCGTAAAACGCCCTGCTTGCTGCCCAGGAGACCCCGTTGAGTTCACAGCTGCCCTTATGAAAACACTTCTCTGCCCGGAAATATCAGGGAAGGGTTGCATTGTATACCCAACAGTGTGCTTGGGATGGCAGGGGCACTTGGCCCATGGCTGAGGCTCGCCTCTCTTCTTCTGCCAGTCCTTCATAAGGGCTATAAATTCAAGTACTGAAATCCCTGATTTAAAAGTAATGGATCAATACACTGCTAACAAGGCTAGCGACACAAATCTTGCCAGTTGCATTTCTTTTCTTTTCTTTTTTGCTCCCAAGCTGGCCACTTCCAGGAAGGCTTCAAAGAGCTCTTTGGGAATAGCTCCATCAACCGCAGTCCCAGGCAGCCAATTAACATGGATTGAAATTTGGCATCCAGCCTTCTGTCACTAGCCTTTCTCTGCCCTTGGAAGAGAAACTGACACTCCCTGGCAGGCCTGCCCTTTCCCCTCAGTCTCTCTAGTCTCAAGACTAGGGCTTGCCAGCTCTCCCCCCCCCTGCCAAGCACAAGGCACTGTCATGGCCTCACAGGAAGCATTGTCGAAACGAGAGGACTGGCTGCTTTAGCAGGGGACATCTGGGCAGTGAGATTAATGGCTTGGCTTCAGTTCTTGCGATGGCTTCAACCCACTCTTTGCAGAGCCGCAGAGTGTCCCGAGATTATTCCTTAAGCCAGGAATTGGGTCAGTGGGGATGGGAACCTATTCCTTTTCAGAGAGGTAGCCACGCTAGTCGTTTTGTTATACCCTCATTTTTCTAAATAATCTTTGGGAATCAGTGCAACTGCAACTACAAACAGGATGTCCAGCAGACATTTCTCCCTCCTTTTTTGTAACATTAGGACAAAAGGTCACTTAGTGAAATTGATGGCTAGCAGATTCCAGAGAGACAGAAGCATTTAAAAAAAGCTAGCATGCAATTGTCTTGCGGAATTTGCTGCCACAAGTTGATTATGATTGCACCCACAGGCTGCTTTAAGAGCAGTTTAATGAGTTTATGGAGGACAAGTCTATCACTATTAGCCATGACGTTTCAGTTTTTTTAAAGGTGTTTATTCTTGATGCTCCACTGGGTGGAGAGGAGCGAAAACTGAGACCTTCCTGCTCTTCTTGTACTGTAGGTGCCATGGTTACCTGCTTCTGGTTAAGGGGTCCCTGGTCTCATGCAGCAGGGCTGCATGCATACACTCTAGTAAAACTGTTCTTTGCCTTTAATTCAAAGATGCAGAATTTCTTTCAATCTGAGGCTGGATTCAATTTCGGAGAAGATTGGGCAGCTGCGTTCCAGTGGTGGCTGCAATGTAAGGCAAAAGAATGGGACAAAAAACACAAAATGTTACATTCAATGTCTTCCTGATGGAAGCAAAACCTGAAAGAAGGCATTTTGATTTTCAATCTGGGGAGAAAATCTATATGGAACTTGGGAAACCATCAAATACAGGGCCTCTTCATCTCTTGCAAACCAGTTCCTGGCACCCCTTTCTTGGGATACTTGCTTGGAATATTTTTAGTTTCTCCCATTTCTTAAATTACGGTACTTTAGTCCTTCCCCCAAGTGAAATATAGCACTCTCCTTGGATTCGTGGTGTTGGAGTAAAGTCAGGCAGCTGCAATTTTCTGAAAAGTCTCCCCAGGCCTTCCATGTCCCCCAGAAAGCCTAGCACTCCTTTGTGGGGAAACCCTGCTTATGTAATGAGAGGCACTTTGTAAACAAAAGCAGGTGGTTCTGGTTTTTCTGATTGTCATAGAAATTTTTCCAGCTTGGGAGATGCCAGAGACTCTGGAACTGATCACTTGTATTTTCCCCAGAACTATTAGGTTACCGATGAGATAGAGAAATGGTGGGAAGCTGCGGGCAGGACTTCACTTCATTCGGCCGAATGGTCTGCCAAAAATCAGCCTATGTGTAAGAATTAATTTGAACCATATCTAACCCAGTTGGTTCAATGCCAAAGATCAGCCCCAAGACACACAAACTGACTGTCAAACAGTTTGCAGTACAGTGTCCCGTTAAAGATAGGCTGCCTGGGGAATTCTGAAAGCTGTAATCTAAAAAGCATAAATCTGCAGACGGGTCTCCCAAATTTGCTTGGACTTTACACTTTAGTACCCCATTTATCTGGGTGGACATATACTGGTTTTTGTTCCAGCAGTTGGATGTCGTCAGCTCTCACTCCCACCCTGGATGTGGTCATGGCAGCTTTAAAGAAAGATACAGTGCTGCAGCATCCAAAATTGACTTCCAGGTTCTTATTCAATAGACTACAGAATCCAATTATTATCTTCTTCTTCCCTGCAGATGTTACCTTCATGGAGGAATTAGTTTAACCCAGTACCCTCTCTCTCCTGTTGCATCGCCTCCCTGCTCCATTATTTATTTCAAATGGGTCTCCTTTTCTCCATCCTGGAACTCCTTCAGATGTACCACAATAAGAAACCTCTTTTTCTTCCACACTCCAGTATTTATGGGACAGAAATAGCCTTCTCTGGTCTACCCTGGCCAGTCTTGCAAATTGGGATAACTCCCAGAGTCATCCAAGAAATGTCACTTTGGATTACAATTTGGATAATCCCTCCCTTGATTGAGGGGGCAATCAAGATGTAACCTATCCTCAGGGCTTGAAAAATTTTAAAATGTCTCACCAGTCAGCATGATCGGACTATAACCTTGCAATTTATTGCGATTGGAAATCACTGATTTATACCCTCAGACTTGGGTTGCTTTATCACCTATATGCCTGTGGGCTCATGAAGCTTGTACTGTATTTTGAATGTCTCCAGCTAAAATAAAACTGAAAGCAAAAGTGCCCAGCCTCTTAAGAAGCCAGTTCACTCCCATCCCAAGATGTGTCCTCATTTGGTTGAAATTAGGAGCAGGGAATCTCCATATTCTCCAGCATGGAACTGCTCTACATTCTCCTGCAGAGCTATATCTCTATGTGCCGCTCGAACTCTCTTCTTGGGAGAAGAGGGCAGTTTTCCTTTTGCAATGGGAGGGGAGGACTGCAGGATTAGAGAGAGAGAAACAGGTGGAGGGGAAGGAAGCGGGCAGGGAGGGAGCTGTGACTTGTCGAGCAGCATTTTTCACTTGTCACAGACAAGTAGACAAGTGCATTTTTCAAGCCCTGCCTATCCTATTACATTAACTTGCAGCAGTATCAGTGCAAAATTTCATGTTCTTTGTTGTGATCTCCATGTATTCACACAGATGGGTCCTGCATCTGTGCGAACACCAACTTAGAAAGTTCCAGAGCCTCTAATTTAAATGCTTTTCTCATTTCCTTTACTGCACATGTGTAACCTGCTGCCCTCAGACCTTTCTTATTTGCCATGGCAACAACACTATCAGGCTGCTCCTGAACTTCATTTCTAAGCAAATATTTGTAAAAAGAACCTTACCTCAGTTATTATTTTCTTTCCCTAGTTGCCTTTTTCTCTCTCTTTTATTTATACGGGATCAGAGAATTTAGGAAGACCACCAAGTTGTTTATATGTTACAGTGGTCCAAAGAAAGGGCAACCAGTCTCTTCTGAACGTTTTTCTAAATGGGTAGTGGAAACAATAAAGTTAGCCTATGAGATTGCAAAAATGCCCTTGCCACATGTCATTAAATGTCATTCCACTAGAGTTATTTTCTCTTTCATTGTGTTCATGAGAGGAGTTGACATCCAGGAGACTTGTAAAGCATCTACATGGTCTAAACCACTGACGTTTATAAAACATTATTGGTTAGACCTAAGAACTCAAAAGGATGCCTCCTTTGGGAAGGCTATTTTGTCTTCTTCTTTTGCTTAACACCACCACCTCCAAATGTTCATAGCTTGCCAGTCACCCATTTGTGTGAATACATGGAGACCCCAATGACAAAGGTTACCTGTAATTGTAGCTCTTTGAGTGGTCTTCCATGTATTCACGCAACCCATCGTCCTCCCTACTTGTCTTCCTGTGTTACTACATATGGTCTTGTGGTGGACAGGTTGGGACTGAGGGAAGAGGGCTGCATATCTGCAGTAGAGCCTGTGGGAAATGTATCTAAATTAGAGGCTCTGGAACTTTCTGAGTTGGTGCTCACACAGGCACACAACCTATATGTGTGAATAAATGGAAGACCACTCAAAGAACTACAATAATAGGTGAGTAACCTGTCCTCTAGCTCTTAATGTTTGGATAGCATAGCTACAACCCCCAGAATTCCAAAGGTATTTTGATAAGAGGATTCTAACTACCTGAATACACTTCCACCATCATGGCCAGTGGACACAGAACTTATTTGGTAATTTGAAAAATCAGTAGTCTCCGTACAAAATTTCATGTTTCTACTTGGACCATTTCAGTTACAGCAGGGGTCCCCAACCTTTTTCACCCTGCGGACCGGCTGGGGAAGGCGGGGCACCCCTCCGGTGCTCATGCGCAAACGAGCATGTGTACATGCGCAAATAGTGGTGTGGCACTTGTGCAGGTGCAGGTGTACTTGCGCGCATGCACAGGCACCAGCACAGTGCTTGTGTGAGCGTGCTTATGTGCATGCTCAGACAATGGTGCGGTGCGCGCAGGGGTGAGTGTGTGCCTGGGTGGGGTGCGAGGTCTGTCTCTGTGGCTTGACCCGGCCCGGCCCTGAGTTACAGGACTACTCCTAGAAAGCCCCAGCCAGCATGGCCAGCTGATAGGTAACCCAACCAGTTATTTCAGAGGTAATTTTAGTAGACCTTCAGTAACATCCATACCTAATTTTGTGTTTCTAGTTCTTACTATTTCAGGGATCTTTAGAAACAAAGAAATATTAACAGGAATAAAATTTATAACATACATTTTACCCTGCTATTAAATATTGGTAAAATATATGTTAAGTTGAGTACAGGATGATTGTACTCAACTTAATGCTTACTGTTTTTAGTTTTAATAAGTTTAAATGTAACAATGTGTTTTAAAAAAATAAGTCAATGATCCCCTTTTCTCACCATGGAAAAAGGTAGTTTGTATGTCCTTCTCATTATTGTTAAAACTACCAACAACATAGGAGAAGTGATTTCAGGCTTCCTCAAATGTTTATCCAGATCCACAAGTAATCAGTCCTCATCAATTTTTACCCTGGTTTTTGTTTTGGAATGTACAAGAATGAGATGTACAAAATTGCAGAAGTGGGAAAAGGCAGAAACATTATGAGATGGAACTTTAGTTCTGGCAGCAAAAAGACACAGTTGCCTGAAGACATGGGCTTGTCACTCTCAAGGATCTCTGATGGGTCAAATACTCAGATTTCATGGGAGCATGATTCCACTTCATCAGATGATAGCAGAAAACAATAAAAGACTGATTGTATTATAAATTGCATGTAAGAACAAATCTTCTTTTTAAAAAGTCTAAAAGCAGGGCTGCATGACTTTAGAAACCATTACATGAACAGCAAACCTGTTACCATCTGGATAATAATGCTGATAAGCAACAATGAAACCTGTGGCTTAAACCTGTGGCATATTCAGGCTAAAACTGTGAGATTTGTATGTGTAATTCAAGACCAAGTTATTTGCACTAGGTACCATCAGAAAATAATTATGATACAAGGTGTAAGTGGTGTAATACAAGGCCTGTCATGAATCTAAAGAAATAATTCACTGTGTCATAGCTGGATGCGCAAGCTCCTGCTTGAACTTTTCAATAACAATTTACATGGAGGGCAAATTTTGGATTTGAAACATCAACTGAATAGAAAGCTGTAGGCATTTCTTTTCATATGCTTCATAAATCCTGGGATGGTTATTGTGGGATGTTAGGTGTGATTAGACTGTATGCATATGTATTGGGAAAACATCTAATATAACATGAATATTTTAATAAATAAATAATTGAAACTGTAAATACGTAATCTGAGGGAATCCTGCATCAACCCAGGGTTACTAATGTCTCTGACACTACACTTTTTATGTAGATGGAGGCAACTCGAGAATGCAGAAAGGAGGAAGGCATGGCAATTCAGGCACCAACTTTTAAAATCGTGTTTTTTTGTAACGACTGGCTTAAATGGAAACTTATACACGCACAAATATGTTGTGCGTGTATGAGAAGCCACACAGTCTGGCCTGCACCAATGGTGGTTGCTATCCTGTTCCATCTCCTCCCTTCTGATGCTGTCCAGTTGGACGTTCTGCCATGTTGGAAAAAACAAACAGCTGCCTTTAAATAGAAAACCACTAGAGGAAAACCTTCTAATAAGAAGCCTTCTTCCTTTTGTGCTCCTTTTCTGCTTGCAGGAGCAGGAGGGCTGCATGTCTGGATTTACAGGCACGTGCCCTTTCTCCCAGTATCTCCTTCGCTTTCCTCCCTATGAGGGATAGGGCGAAGCCAAAAGTCCAGTGAAGAAGAGCCTAGCATGTGTCTCTTTCTCTACCATGGCAACCAAGCTATTTATGAATTGAAAGCCGGCCTCGCCAATCGGAAACCGCCGAGAGGCTCCCGAGGACTTAAACTATTGTATTGCTTCTCTTTCGCCCTCTCTGATTGGGAGCGGCAGTTTATCCTCGATGATTGACTGCGGCTTCTAGCAATGGCAACCGACAGGCCGTCTGAAGTTTGTCGCAAGGTCGAATAGGCGCCCGCTCACGTGCGAGGACTGGCCAATGAAAACAGAAAGGTGGGCGGAGCCCTTTGCGTGGGTGCGCGCGGGAGGTGGGGTGAGGGGCTTGTGGCGGCGGCGACGAACGGCAGAAGCGGTGGAGGAAAATGGCGCCGAGCTCGAAATCGGAGCGGGGCAGCGCCTCGGGAGGAAAGCGGGGTTCGGCAGAGACGGGGCGCGGCGGCAGGCGGGAGCATGTGGTGAGGCAGCTCGAGCGGGTCAAGGTGAGCGGAGGCAAAAGCGGAAGAGGCCCGGGAGGAGAGGCAGGGGACCCCCGTCACGAAGGGGAACGGGTCCCCCAGGCATGTCGAGACGTGAGGGGAGGAGGAGGAAGAGGAGAAGGCGGCAGCAATACTCTCCTGCCGAGGAAGTGGGAAGGAAGGGAGGGAACCCTTGGTGGGATATGGTAGTCCTGTCAAGACTCTTTGGGGTTCAACGGTTGAATTACAGGTTCTTCGGAAACGGGGGGAGGCTTGTGAGTGTATGAACTGGAGTATGATTTGGATTCCTTTTTCCCTCCCCTCCCCTAGTGGTTTCTGTGAGGTAAATGTATGGAGGTGAGGGAGGATGTATGCTTGTGGTATCTGCTCGGTGAAGATAATCCTCCGTGGCTTCCATGGAGAGGCCTCTAAGGTGTCAGTAACAAGGTGCCTTGATGGGCACGATCACTCCGCCGGAATGGGCGCTGCGTCGTCGGTCTCTCTGGGTATTGAGAGGAATCAAGCGTCCTGGAGGAGGAATAACGTACTGTGTTGGAGATATCCTTGCCAGAGGGAGAAGAGAGTGTGACACCGAGAAAGATGGAGAATTGGCGTCCTTGATGATAGGAGATGAGAAGGGCCTTGTGTACTTGTACTTCAGTCAGAGAGTGGGATTAACATGTGCTTTTCCAGATAAATGGGAAAAGATGAATCAAATGAAATCGCCCTGAAACTATGGTTTTCTGTATAATAACAAATGTATCATATAGTAAATAATTCTTAAAATGTGCTTTTCCAGATAAATGGGAAAAGATGGATCAAATGAAATCGCCCTGAAACTATTGTTTTTTGTATAATAAAAATGTATAGTAAATGGGTCATCTGTCAACTCAGGTGATGGATATATGCAGATATTACTTAGTGTTGAGCTTGGATCTTTGAGACCTACCTTCAGATGCCCTCTTCATTGTTAAATTCAACAGGTGACCTTTACCACAGGAGGGAATAACAACAACTATAATAGTAATCTTAGAACTGCAGAGTTGGGAGGTGCCCTGTGGATCAAGTCCAGTCCCTGTCAAAGAGGCATAGTGAGGAAATGAACTTCCAAACTCTACCTCTGCAGTCATGGACCTAAACCACTCAGCTGTCCAACAGTTCCAGGAAGATGGGGTGGTACAGTGGGTAGGGAGGGGGAGATAAGGGATGTTTATTAGGTTGTATGTCATGATATAATTGAAAATGCTTGGCTCACAAGGCAGGATATTAATTGGGGTTAGTGCCATGTGGTGCTGTTGAGCTGAACAACAATTGGTATTCATATTCAACATAGGTGAACAGTCACTTGTTTTTAGCAATTTTTCCAGATTGGCAAAAGGTTCATTATTCATCTTTTATATTGTGTTTGTTGTGGAGTAAGTACTTTCAAGATGTTTTGTCCTTTGCTATATTAATTTTGTGTGTGTACTGAGGGCATGATTCATAAGTACATAACAGTTTCTTTCCTGGATCAAACCAAATGCCAGTCTAGTCAAGGATTCTTTGTCCTGCAGCCATACTTTTCTGGAAACATATGAGCAGAACATGCAGGTGGGTGGTCAACAGGAGGGCTGTTCCCAGTGTTTGGCTTTTGTTGATGTGTTGTATGTATGTGATAGTTCAATTTTGTGTCATAGAGGAATAGATCATAATTTGGGCCATTCATGGAGCCATCTGATGAAATCTATTTTGCAGTGATCACATGACTCATGGAGAAATGTGTTCAAGCCTGACCCAAATCCTTAATCAAGTGGTACAGTTTCTACTTTTTGAGGCTGGATTGGAGAGATTCCCCAACAGAGTGAAGGGAGATCACTCCTGTTAAAATTACTCTTCTTGATGTAATTGGGTATGTGTATTTGGAGCTGCCTGATCACACCGCTAGTTAATACCCAATGGTTAGTTTTAGAGATAGACATGAACAGGTGTTTGGGGCTTCAAAGCCCTGACTCCACTTGGAGGCAGTGGCCTGGCTTCGCTGCCCCACCTTCCCCGGGCATTGCCTCTGAGTGGGCTCTGCTAGAGGAGGCAGGGCTTTGAAGCGCCAAACTCCTGTTTGGTGACTAAACAACCCAACATGAACTGCTGAACCAGATGGTTTGTTATCAACTCTGGTTAGATTCATTCTGCATGAACATATTAAAATATTTAAACAAGCCATCTACATTGGTAGTTATTCCACTTGGTGCAATGGCTAGGCATCTTCATTGAATGACTTCAGAGCATAAGAAGCTTTCTTATATTTACTTAGACCATTGCTCCCATCTACTCTGGTATTGTCAGCTCTAACAGCTGCTGTCCAGCCTTTTAGGAAGAATTCATTCTCAACTCTACCTGAAAATCAATTCCTGATACTCCTCAGCGCTTCCCTATCTAGTACTAACTAGGCACCATCTTCTGTAGTTTCCAAAATCAGACTAGAATTTAGTCACTAGATTGATGTGTCCAGGGTGATAATGATGCTATAAACCTTACTCTTCTTGTAACTGGGCTTTTAATCTCCTCTTGGTAACTTAACAATTATTTCTAGTTCACAGATGGTGAATTGAGACTGGGGAAGGGAACTGCCAAAAATTGTGGAGAACTAGGAGCAGAACATCTGTCACCAAATACTGTGTCTTTTGTTTTTCACTTGTAACCAAAGGGCTATTGTGAGATGGATAAGGAAGCATTTTTAATGTGCTCTAGATTTTCATTACTGATTAAACAACTGAGTTTTGTGCTCATATTGGAGTTAAAAGGATATAACAAGAATCTTAAATCACTTAACCTTGAACATTTTTCCAGTACTTAGTGATAGGGAAAAGTATAGTAAATCAGAAAAAAGAAGAAACAAGAATCTTAAATCACTTAACCTTGAAATTTTTTTCCAGTACTTAGTGATAGGGAGAAGTATAGTAAATCAGAAAAAGAAGAAGAGTGTGCTGCCCCATCGTGCTTAGACCACACTCTGGTTGATTTACATTTTAATTAGCTGCTTATATACTGCCCCATAGTGCTTAGACCACACACTGGTTGATTTACATTTTAATTATGCAGGATATACATTACCCCCCAAACCATAACAGAAGGCTTGACTGCTGTGGCAAAAGAAAAATAATAGTTAATACCTGCTTCCTTTTTAATTTTCTTCACTGCTCACGTGACCTGTGTTTAATATCAGAACCCGTGAGTGAACAAGTGACATAGGCCAAAATTCTGTTCTTTCGTAAATTGCACTAGATTGGGCCGACTGAATCAATGGGGATTGATTCAATCTACCATAAATTTCATTGATTCAGCTGGGCCTGCTCTAACTGCCACTCACTTTAACACAGTGAGTGGCAGTCAGAGTAGGGTCATTTGAAACAATGGAGGAGTTGGCCCATTAAATCCACATTGAGTCTGTTCCAGTGTGATTTACTACCTTATGCAACAGGATTTTGACAACTGTGAGGGGAAAAGCGATGTGGTTGGATTCTGCAGGAATCATTGCAGTTGATTGGCACCAAGAGTTACACGATTTATTTTGACCACAAAGATTGTGCCTGATGCATGTGCTACCTTGTTACCCCACATAGTTTTTTCTTCTTTCCTTCATGTTATGTCAGTTTGTGTATTAGAGAGAATCTTGAAAACCTTAAAAGAATCTATTTTACTGCTTTTCTTCCTTTTGCAGATCACTGGGCAACTCTCACCTCGTCTGTTCCGTAAGCTGCCACCAAGGGTTTGTGTCTCCCTGAAGAGTATTGTTGATGAACATTTCTTATGTGCAGGGTAAGCGTATGATATGGTATATATTATTATTTTATGACCCAGTGCTGATGCTGCTTCTCCTTGATGTGAGAGGATTCATGACTTTTATGAAGTGTATTTGAGAGCCCTGTAATCTGAACTTTGCTTCTTTCTTGTGTTTCAGGCACATTTTCCTTGGCTTTTCTAAATGTGGGAGGTATGTCTTGTCCTACACTAGCAGCAGCGGTGATGATGATTTTTCCTTCTATATTTATCATCTGTACTGGTGGGAGTTCAATGTTCACAGCAAGCTAAAAATGGTATGCATAATTGTGCTTGTGAGATGTGGGATTGAAATATCACTCCCTTATTTTGATTATGAACATTAGAGAAGTTGACTTGACCCACTGTCTTGTAGTTGGTGGAGTTCTGTAAAAAGATTATCATCCTAGTCGTTCAGTCGCATCCGACTCTTTGTGACCCCATGGACCAGAGCACGCCAGGCCTTCCTATCTTCCCCTGCCTTACGGAGTTGTCAAATTCATGTTGGTTGCTTCGCAGTTACTGTCCAGCCATCTCATCCTCTGTCGTCTCCTTCTCCTCTTGCTATCACACTTTCCTAACATCAGAGTCTTTTCCAAGGAGTCTTCTCCTCTCATGAGATAGCCAAAGTATTGGAGCCTCAGCTTCAGGATCTGTCCTTCCAGTGAGCACTCAGGGTTGATTTCCTTTAGAATTGATAGGTTTGTTCTCCTTGCAGTCCAGGGAACTCTCAAGAGCCTCCTCCAGCACCACAATTCAAAAGCAGCAATTCTTCAGTGATTAGCCTTCTTTATGGTCCCGCTCTCACTTCCATACATCACTAAAGGAAAAACCATAGCTTTGACTATGCGGACTTTTGTTGGCAAGGTGATGTCTCTGCTTTTTAAGATGCTGTCAAGGTTTTTCATCGCTTTCCTCCCAAGAAGCAGGCGTCTTTTAATTTTGTGGCTGCTGTCTCCATCTGCAGTGGTCATGGAACCCAAGAAAGTAAAATCTGCCACTGCCTCCATATCTTCCCCTTCTATTTCCCAGGAGGTGATGGGATCAGTGTCCATGATCTTAGTTTTTTTTATGTTGAGTTTCAGGCCGTTTTTTGTACTCTTATCTTTCACCCTCATTACAAGGTTCTTTAATTCCTCCTCACTTTCTGCCATCAGAGTGGTGTCATCTGCATATCGGAGGTTGTTGATATTTCTTCCGGCAATCTTAATTCCGGTTTGGGATTCCTCCATTCCAGCCTTCCGCATGATATATTTTACATATAAGTTAAAATAAGCCGGGGGACATATAAAAAGTTTATAGACAGCTTCAAATGGTGGAAATGGCATTAAGGGATGAAGTACATCACTACTGCAGAAAAGAGAAACAAATGTGATGTGTGAGATAGCACATAAGATGATGTTCTGTCAAATAACTGGATGGTCTGTATCTGTGATACAGTTCAGCAAGTGTGTACATATTTTAAATTCATGTGAACTTGGGTCCCTGATGACACCTAGGATATCCAACTATATAAACCAGGGCGGCAGATAGTCCTGCTTGACATTTACCCTTACATGATTCCTCTGCTGGCTGAATCTGATAGTCTCAATTAGAGTTGAACCATTGTCTGAAGCCCTGTTGTACAGTTACACAAAAGGCATAATATTTGGGAGCAAGTTGCTGTAAATTAAGAAGTCTCTGCAGATCTTATCTGTTGCATACTGTTTCACACAATATATGAAAATAGATAATATGTATTTTTCATAGCAACTTGTTCCCAAACTTATGCCTTTTGTGCAACTGCACAAGGGGATTTTGGCTGTTGAATCACTAGGATTTACATAACTGTTGACTTTATTATTCAGCAGTTGATTCAGTGGATCTACTCTGCTTTCAATTACCAGCTGGATTTAGGTCTGGAATGTTGACTGCATCTTTATACTCGTGTATCCCTAGAGATTGCAGTTTATCATTCTGTGGCTAGCAAATGAATTTTACATCTCAAAAGCAAGTAACAAAATATTATTTCTGTAAGGTCTCTTTTTCTTTGTTGTTATGGGCCATCAAGTCACCTCTGACTTATAGTGACCCTGTGAATCAGTCATCTCCAAAGTGTCCTGTACTCAACAGCCCTGTTCAGCTCTTATAAACTCAAACCAGTGATTCCTTTAGGAAGTCAGTCTGTCTTGTATTTGGTCTTCCTCTTTTCCTGCTGACTTCTACCATTCAGACGCCATTTTCTCTACATTCTGATGATCCTTGTACATTCCTGGAATGTTTGTGGTTTTTAATAATAATCAGTCTGGATCTGTTGTGTTTGTGACATCTTGCTTAGTGTTCCCTTATTGTGTCATGACTAGGTTAAAAAAAAAGGAAGCACTTTTATAAGACTTTGCAGGGTGAAATTTTCCTTACTTTCTAATCAAGAACTGTAGATCTATAGGAATACTTAAATTTTAACACACTTTTTGTAGGACCAGAGAATTGTAGATCAGGAAGTGGTCCAAAGGCTTGTCAAAATCCAGCCTTGCCAGTGCAGGAAATCTGGAGCGAAAGCATTCCTGATAGGTGGGCATCCCCAGGGAAGGAGAATCTACCACCCTCTGAAGACTCAATTCCATTGTCAGATAGCACTCACTGTTAGTTCTTGTAGTCTGATTTCCCTAATTTTAGCTATGAATATATCATAATTGTATACATAGGAGAGAAAGATAGTCTGCTCAAATTCAAGGCAGATTAAGATTAACTGCACTTTAAAGCCTAAACTACAAGTTTCCAACCTGGTGGGTTGCAATCTCTAAGGAGGTCATGACATGTTTTCGGGGCATGTGTGTCACCACAGTTATTTTTAGTTGCAATTATTTTTATATTTATTTTATTAATGATAGTATACACAATGCTGTTTTATTTTAATTCTCTTGGCCCACAAATAGATCAATTTAATCTGAACCAGAATTGCAGGCAATCTAGCATTCTTAATTGTTTCTATACCACTTTGGGCAGATTGTCCTTTTATGCAAGCATATTGCTCCTACCCTCTCTAAAAGAGCTGCTCTCATTCATTTCTCATTGCTCCTCTGCATCTACTTTTGGGACACTCAGTACCTGGGAGCAAGCCTCACTTAAGTGTCTCATGTAAGCCTGAGTGAGGTGATTGTGCAGTGCATGCTAGGAACACTGATGCCCAATGTGGTAGCAGGATTGAGAAGTGGTTGCTGCGCTGTGGCATCTTTCACTCTCCCTAAGTGTCCTGCTCTCCTGTGTGTGGCGATAGCAGCACAGTGAAGGGACTGGGGACCTGGGCCAGGTGATGCTTCTGGATGGCGCCTGACTTGAGGAGGAGGGCAAGAGGGGCAAAAAGGTGAAGAAGGAGAACCAGGGAGGGGGGAGCATGGGAGGCCATAGGGGAAGTTTTTATTTGAGCTTGAGGAGGAGGGGTTCTTCACTGAAATGACTTTTGGGGAGGGGGAGGAGACATGAACAGAGAGTCGTTTCCACAGCTGAAAAAGTAAATTAAACACGGAGTGTATTGACATTTTTTCCTTCTCGATTTTTATCTAATAGAGGTGGATTTACAGCCTCTCATAATTATGTATTACATTATACAGGGCTTGAAAAATCCACTCGTTTGTGACGAGTGAAAAAACACTGCTTGATAAGCCACAGCTCTCTCCCTCCTTGCCTCCTTACCCTCAGTCCGTCTCTCTAGCCACAGCTCCCTCCCTCCCTGCTTCCTTAACCTCCACCTGTGTCTCTCTCTGATCCTGCAGTCCTCCCCTCCCCCTCCCACTGCAAAAAGAAAACAACCCTCTTCTCACAAGAAGAGAGTTTGAGCAGCACATAGATATATAGCTCTGCAAGAGAATGTAGAGTACAGTGGTGCCTTGCTTAACGATTACTTTGTTAAATGACGAATCCGCTTGACAAGGTTTTTGCGATTGCTTTTGCAATCGCAAAACGATGTTTCAATGGGCAATTTTCGTTGGACGATGATCGGTTCCCTGCATCGGGAACTGATTTTTTGCATTACGACAATCTGAAAACAGCTGATCGTTGGGTTTCAAAATGGCTGCCCGCTGTGCAGAATGGCTCCCCGCTGTGATTAGGACAGATTTTTCGCTTGACAGGCACTGGAAAATGGCCGCCCTATGGAGGATCTTCGCTGGATGATTAGGTATTTAGCCCATTGGAACACATTGATCCGGTTTTCAATGTATTTCAATGGGGTTTTCCCTCCGCTTTACGATGATTTCGCTCTGCAGCGATTTCGCTGGAATGGATTAACGTCATCAAACGAGGCACCACTGTAGTCCCATGCTGGAGAATATGGAGATTCCTTGTTCCCAATTTCAACCAAATGATCTTGCTCCCTAAGAGGCCGGGCGCTTTTGCTTTCAGTTTTATTTTTGCTGGAGACATTCAAAAGAAAGGCATTCAAAATGCAAGCTTCATGACCCCACAGGCACGCAGGTAATAAAGCAACCCAAGTCTGAGGGTATATTTATTTTGGGTTTGTACGCATTGTTATGTAAAAAATCCCTAGTTTAAATTTAAATTTAAACATAAATTGCAAGGCTATAGTCCGGTCATGCTGACTGGTGAAATTTTGACTGACTGGTGAGACATTCTAAAAATCTTCAAGTCCTGTATATTAATATTAACATATTAGAGTTATCATCTGAAAAACTTTTTTTGCCTTTTCATGCAAATGTGGTGGTAGCATCACAGGTTACTTCACAGGAAATACTGGCCTTAGCAAATGCAGACTATATCACAAATGTTAGTTACCTGCTCTGTTTGAAATGTTTTATTTTTCATCCAGTTATATATGATCACAGGTATTTTGCTGAGGATGCCCTCCAAAGCACATTGAGTCTAATGTGTTGAATTACAGTGGTGTCCCGTATAGCGACGTTAATCCGTTCCAAAAGCCTGGAAACCTTCGGGACCCCTCCACCCTGTCCCTGCATCCCCGCGCTGCCGAGCCCAGGATGCCTGACAGGCATCGGATCCCCCCACCCTCCCCCCTGCTATGGCAAAGGGTCCTTCGAAGGCCACCGCAGGCATTTTCCCCCAGCTGAGTGGCGGGAGTGCTCCTTTGGAGGCTCCCGCCGCTCAGCTGAGGGATAATGGTGCCTATGGGGAAAACATCGCAAAGCGATTTTTCCCCATAGGCACCTTCGTTATACGATCGCAAAAGCGATGGCATTTTTGCCATCGCTATGCGGATTCGTCATTAAACGGGGCACTCGTTATACGAGGCACCACTCTATTGTGTTTTCTGTGTATTTTGTAGTTTCCATGGTATCACTTAGCATTAAACCTTTCTTCTGAGACCCAGTCATATTCCAACAAGTGTTTTGCTGCTCATTTAGGTACGTCAGGTTCGATTGTTCCAAGATGAAGAAATCTACAGTGATCTATACCTGACTGTGTGTGAATGGCCCAGTGACCCTACCAAGGTCATCGTCTTTGGTTTCAAGTAAGTTTTCTTCCCATGTTTCTCTGGCACTTGCTTGAGGCATTTCTGACTATTGCCATGATTAAAAAAAAACAACAACAGCATTGCACTGTATGAAAAATTGAAATATCCTTTATCATAACCTCTCAGGAAATTTAAACTATTTAGCATAATAAAACAATGATATTTCATTCCCATATTTTAAATTAAATTTAGAAATTTTCCCAGTGTACCACAGACTGGCAAAATAAGAAGCAAAGGTGGCACTTTTCTAGTATCTATCTCACTTGAAATAAGCTTATGATAGAAAAGACAGGTAGAATTTCAATTTAGGAAGTTCAGCAAAAGAAAAAATCACTGAAATTGTAGACAAGGGTGGGGAGTAACATTCTAATCTACATCCTCAGAGGTGAAATCTGAGACCTACCACTTTTGAACTAATTCTGCAGGTCTTATTTTACCTTGTTTTAAGCAGAATAACTTGGTAAGGAAGACATGATTTTTGCAACTTATGTGTTTCTTATACCACTAAATTATGACAAACAGAATCTACCTTTCAGTTCCTACAGGAGTTGAAAGTTGCCTTACTCCCAGCTTTGTAAGGTCCACCTTGATGAAGACTCCCGTAGGAGTTTGTGCTATTTTAGCATTTGTGTTATTTTAGTGGTCTAATAGGGACATATAAAATATTAATACAGTGGTGCCCCGCATAGCGACAATAATCCGTTCCGGAAAAATCGTCACTATGTGGATTCGTCGCTATACGGAACAAAAAAGCCTATAGGAATTCATTAAAGCACGTTTAATGCGTTCCTATGAGCTAAAAACTGACCGTTATGCGAAAATCCTCCATACGGCCGCCATTTTTGCTGCCCGGTAAGCGAGAAATGGGCGCGAAAACACAGCGGGCGACCATTTTTTTTACCGGGCAGCCATTTTGGAACCGCCGATCAGCTGTTCTAAAAACAGTGCTATGCGGAAATCGGTAAGCGAAACAGCTTACTGTTCATCGCAAAGCTATGTTTTACCATTTAAAACATCGCAATGCGATCACTTTTGCAATCGCAAAAACTTAATCGCTATTCGGATTCGTCGTTAAATGGGGCACCCGTTATGCGGGGCACCACTGTATTTTAATATTGTGAGCCACCTTGACTCCCCCTATCAGGAGAACAGGAGCATAGAAATAAAACAAATAATAAATGTTACCCACACTTACTTTTGAATTTAGGAAGTTGTTATCTTTCTATTCACTGTTTGGCTGTGGGCGAAGACTTAACACAAGGGCAGTACCTATACAAAAGGTCCTTGGTGCCATCCGTTATAATCTTCCCATAGGACTGGAAAAGGGATCTCAGCAGCGGTGGACAGACATTGTTGCTCAGCATCAACAATACTGTGATAGAAGAATTAATGGTCTGACTCAGTTTAAGTTTGTATCTTATGTTCCATGAATTTGGCTTAGCTAGATGAATGTTGGCAATATATTCTCCTACAAATGATTTTTCCATTTCTAATTTCAATTCAGATATATCTGATTGGGAATATGATTGAATATTAATCAGATTTGTGTTGTGTTCTACTCAGTTCTGTGAAATATTGGTGGTAAACTGGTGGGGTTGCTCTTGCCCTTGGACTGTATGGATTATCTTCTTTCACTCAGAGTGTTATTGGATTTGGTACAGCTTAACTCAGGAGTTTGAATAGATTTATCATTGTATAGCAAGTGGCTTTTAACAAGTTGTTAGTTGTGCCAAGTACCCTCTTAAAAGCTAGGAGGCATAGTTTTTTATGGCCTTTGCAGCAAATAACTTCTACTTCCTCTCTCATAGTACCCGTTCAGCCAATGGTCTACTCATGAACATGATGATGAGTGATGAAAACCATCGAGATATCTACATTAGTACGGTTGCTATGCCTCCTCTTGTGCACTGTTCCAGCTGCAGGGACATGGCCATTGCACATTCAGGCAAGTGAAACATAACAGGCTGAGGAGGAGATTTTGGCAGCGTGCCTCAATTAATAGAAATCTTTCAGGGCTTACTGAAAGTGTTAGCAAGATATGATATAGCACTTGGAATCTGATGCTCATACTAGGATTAATGTGTTGTGGGAATATTTCTGTTCAGTATCATTTTGTTTGAAAGGATATGTCTATCTTGTTTAAATACTTGTTTTAACATGAGTTATCTTTTAATAGTTCCAGAACTGAGAACAGAGAGTATTTTCTTCATTCTGGAAAGGTGTCCATTACATTTGTATTAAAATACTGTACAGTTCTACTGTGAATCTTTTGAGAGAAAGTGACAGTCTCTTGCAAAGTTTTCTATAGAGAGCAGATCCTCTTCTACTTTTCTTTGTATTCATGGTTAGTCCCATGCTGATTCTGATGATCCTTGTGTCTATTTTCTAGGTGACCCAAATGCCAAATGTTTGCAGCATGGGTTCATGCTGCACACCAAGTACCAAGTGGTATACCCTTTCCCCACATTCCAGCCAGCATTCCAGCTCAAGAAAGACCAAGTGGTGTTACTTAACACTAGCTATTCTCTTGTGGCCTGTGCTGTTTCAGTGCATACATCAGGTAGGAGACTGGCGAAGTCAGGGGGCATTACATGAATTCTTTTCTGTTTGGCTGATCTCTTCAGTTTCATTAAGGGCCATCTATGAGGCAAGCCTGTTACTACTGAGTAAAATAGGCTCACGTGTTATATGCTTTCTTGTAATTAAGGAACTGGGTTCCTTATGAAACAAGGACAACCCATTTCAAGAATTAAGGCACAAGAAACCCCTTTGGTTTTAGAAAATGCACAAGTATTCTGTTGCAATTAGTTGTTTAGATTCCTCTGTGCTTTATGAGCAGTTATGTACATTTGTTAGAACCTTAGTTGGATCGTTTTCTGTTTTTGATGTTTGACACCAGTTATCTTTCAGCTGGTGCCACTGAGGTTTGTTGAAAATGTTGTCTTTGCAGCTATGTTCAGTCAACAACAAATCATCTCCCTATAGCACAAATCATACAAGCCATTCCTTCATTATTTTACTGTATTTAAATCACCTGACAGCCGCAGATAAATTTAAGAACGAAATATTTATTTGTTCTTAGTGGCTGCTATTGCTTGTGGAATGGTGAAAGCATTTAAAATTTTAAAATATTTTAAAATTAGTTTTAAATATTTTTAAATATTTAAAAACAGAACTAGTCTTCTTAAAATAGATATTATAAGGAGTCTGGGACAATAGAAGATAATTACTTTGGGAAAAATCAGTGCCAGACAAGCTCCTCTGATGGGGTATTTGAGACATGGTGCTCAGAAGAAAAACTTCCTAACTGCTAGAGCAGTATGACAGTGGAACCAGTTACCTCGGGAGTTGGTGAGTGCTCCAACACTGGAGGTATTCAAGAAAAACTTAAATAATCACCTGGCGGATATGCTTTGATTTTGTATTCCTGCATTGAGCAGGGGGTTGGACTTGATGGCCTTGTAGGCCCCTTCCAACTTCACTTTTCTATGAATCTGTGATACTCACGTGCATGTGCATGCACACACGAGTCACCAGTATCTGTGTTTTCTGGATATAGCTTGTTCAGTCTCATTATAAAGGTGGAATAGGTAATGTTTAGGGACTTTCGCAGCCTCCCCCAGAGGCTGCCCTTTGGTGTTGAATTTGTTGTGTTATTGGCAAAAAAGGTCTCTCTTTATTTTTTTCTTTACAACAAGGAAAATGTTTCTTACTTAACTCGCTTAGAAATTGCATTATGGTTTGCAGGGACAGGATATAGGGTGTGGATGCTGCCCATATTTTCACAGTCTGAGAGAATATAGAAAGAAGTGAAACACAGAATACAGATGGATACAAGAGGAATAATTTCTTGAAACTGCAGAATTAGGTCCATCTTCTTAAATTTGTTCAAACATTTGACAAGGTTTTGTAATTTTGTGGAAATTCTACACAACAAGCACAAGGCCTTCATGTATCTTTAACCTCCTTTTTCTGGATTGAAAATGTTAGTGGTCCTTTTCTTCATGGTTCTGAGTTTATAACCTGGGGTGATTGTCCATGGAAGAAAACAAAGTTGATGTTTGGGCCTCTTAACTGATTAGATTGCTTCCTGAAGATAGGGCTATGTGCCCAGGCTAGTAATCTGGCAGTGAGGAGTTGAGTTTTACTGTACCTTCTGTACCAAGGGCTAAACTGCACTAAACTAGCAAAATTCCCATTATTATTGTGCGTATGTAGATAAATCTTCAATATTGAAAAGTCCTCCGATGGAGATGTGCTATGCATGTGAAAACACTGTGTAATTTCTCAGCGACCAGATTTTGATATTACCAGGACATGTCTTCCATTCTATAATTACATCTCAGAATCTAGATGTTCTAGATTTGAGCACTTATTGGTATTTGAACATCTTGTAATCAGCTAAACAGCATCAAATAATGACTAAAAATGTTGGCCAGTTTGCTGCAGAAATAAAAATGCATTTTGCATTTCTGATTTTCTATTAATGTTTTCTTTTAGATGACAGCAGCTTCTCCCAAATCCTTTATGACAGGAGTCGCCAACCCTGGTCCCCTGCTGGTGAAGTCAGCCACACAGCTCTTGCAACTCAGTGCCCTGCAAGCTTGGAAGAAAGGCTAGAAAGAGACAGTTGCACTTGCCAGAGCAGTGATGCATTGCAGCAGCCTGCTGCTATGCCTTTGCAGGACACAGAAAATCACATCTCACCAGCTGTAGCTATGGCAAAGGAATTTGTTGCAGACATCTTCCGAAGGGCCAAGGAAGCCAAAGGCACAGTCCCAATGGAGGAAGAGGCAGGTGGTGGGCTTGAGTGCCTTCTTGACTCCAGTGAAGCCCTGGACCAGGATACTCTAGCCTCTTGGGATCTACAAAAGCCTTCGGAAACTTGTGTGCACAGTAGTGGCATTCACAGCTCCATATCATCTGGGGCAGACAGCCTTTCTGATGTTTCTGTCTCCCCCAAAGAGTCTTCCCCTGCCGGTGCTGAGCTGGAAAGCCAGCCAGCTGAGCCAGGCTATGTGAACTATACCAAACTGCGCTATGTCTTGGAGCCCAGTGATTCCTCTGAGGCAGAGGATGGTGAGTGTCTGTTTGAAGCCAAAGCTCCATGTGCTAGGAAAGAGCAAGTATCACTATTTAAACCTCTGTGGTTAGGATGTGAGCCAAGAATCTCGGTATCAAAGGCATTCATTTCTGTAGCTCTGTTGATGGATAAGCACCCTTCCCCATAGACTGCTACTTATTGAGAGCTGTGTTGCTTCTAACATCCTGTACAGTGGTGTCTCTACTTATGAACGTAATCCATTCCAGAAGATGGGACGTAACTCAAAATGGTCGTAAGTCGAAGCTCTATTTCCCATTGAAATGCATTGAAACCTGATTAATCCGTTCCAGCTGTTTTTTGGTTGTACCTCGAGACGCCGGTTGCAATTCGAAACATTCGTTCCCATAGGAACAAATGCAATAGCGGTTAATCCGTCCACCAGCACAAGGGGGAGAATTTTTCTTCTTTTAGCCTAAGATGACTTAGGTTAAAAAAAGGGCAGGAAAGGAAGAAGGGAGGGAACAATGGGGAAAAGAGGAAAGAAAGAAGGTCATCACTGGGGTACACAGACCCCTCCGACAAAGGTTTGTGCTGTTAAGCACAGTAAGAAAATTGAGAGAAGACTTTGGGGGGGGGGGAGACTTGAGTCTAAATCACATTTTAAACCAAACACCTTTTAAACAAAGCACATTTTAAAACCAAACACCTTTTAAAACCAAACATTTGAAACCTACCCTCCAACACCTTTTAAAACAAAAGAGAGGTCACATAGCTTTCTGTGTCTTGTGGAGGGCATCACGGTGACCTCTGGCTGGAGGAAGGCGGGTGGTGAGATGGTCATCACTGGGAGGTGGAGTCCCCTTCTTTGAGTCATCTTCTCCAGGGGTTCCCTGTCACTGTCTCTTGGCTGCAGGCTCCATTCTGGTGAAAAATTTGTCCAATATCACCTGCTTTGTCCTGCGCTGCAGAACCTTTCTGAAATGGCTGACCATGTTGTTCATCATGTCCGAAAACTGTTTCCTGTCGCAGTACTGTTTGGGTGGTGCCTCTCAAAGTGTTGGCACTCGTTCCATTTCTTGTAGATGGATCTTATCTCCTCGCTGCTAACCTGTGCTCCCTCTTCCTCAGTGGAAAACTCCTCCACAAGAGTCTTCTGCTGCTTGGTTTGCAGTTCGACAAGTTCTGTGGTCAACTCTTCATGGTCTTCAACCAGCTCCTCTTCATCCTCCTTGTTGACATCCAGCCCTATGCCTTCACCCATGGAGATGATGTCCCTCACCACCTGTGCATCAGTCACCTCAGTGTCATTGCCTGTGACACATTCTCACCACAGTTTCCTCCAGGATGAGTTCAAGGTCCGAGTTGTGACATCTTTCCAGGCCTTGTCAATGAGTCTGACGCAATGGAGGGCATTGAAATGTGTCTTCCAGAACTCTTTCAGGGTCAAGGATGTCTCCTTGGTGATATTGAAACATCTGATGAAGAGTGCCTTCATCAGGTTGCTTCTTGAAGTTGCTGATCACTTGCTGGTCCATGGGCTGCAGAAGAGGTGTTGTGTTGAGGGGGAGGAACTTGACCCTGATGAAATCATACTCCTTGTCAAGATAATCCATCAAGGATGGGGAGTGTGCTGGAGCGTTGTCCATCAGCAGGAAGCTGGTTGTCGGAAAGATATTTTTTGACAGTGGGTGCAAACACTTCATAGAGCCATTCCAGAAACATCTGTCATCCAAGCTCTTGTGTTGGCCCTCCACACGACAGGCAGTGTGGCCTTAACTTTCTCTCGGTGGAATGAGCAAGGAGTCTGGGAGTGGTACACCAGCAGAGGCTTGATCTTCAGATTGCTGGTGGCGTTGGCACAGAACAAAAGGGTCAATCTGTCCTTCATGGGTTTGTGGCCCAGCATTTTCTGTTCCTCCTGAGTGCTGAAGGTCCTCCTGGACATCTTCCAGAAGAGTCCTGTCTCATCACAGTTGAAGACTTGCCGGGCGAGATAGTGTTCTTGATGAATTTGGCAAAGTCCAACTTGAAGCCTTCTGCAGCAGCATTGCCAGAACTTGCAGCCTCCCCATGTCTTATCACACTGTGGATGCCACTTCTCTTTTGGAACTTTTGAAACCACTCCCTGCTGGCTTTGAATTCTTGCGATGCACTTCCGGAGGGGTTTATTTCCATTAAATCACTTAGCTTTTTCACAAATCATGGATTCACTGATGCTTTCCCCTTTCAGCTGTTTCTCATTCATCCATACCAGTAAAAGTTTTCCACCTCTTCTATCAGGGATGACCTGTTCTTTGTTATGATTGTGACTCCTTTTGCCACATCAATTTCTTTAAAGAAATCTTCTTTAATAAGGTGGAGATGGTTGAATTTTGCCTCTTGTATTCAGAAGTCAGTTCAGTCACACGCATGCCATGTTCATGCTTTTTGATAATGTCCTTTTTCATTTCAGTGGAGATGATCTTCTTCCCTTTGCTCTGCTCTTTCTTTGGAGCCATGAGTACTGTTCAGCACACCACAGTACACAAACCCTAGGAGCCACAGAATCCAGCAACCATTATTCCAGCACCCAGACCCCCTCAGCACAAAAAGAGATAAGAGAGAGAGAGAGAAGAGAGAGAGAGAGAGAGAGACGGTGCAGGGAGGGGGAGAGACTTGAGTCTAAGCCACATTTTACACCATTCTAGCAACCAGAGCCCTTCAGAGAAAATTTCTGATTTTAAAAAAATAGACTTTGGAGTCTAAACCACATTTTACACCATTCCTGCAACTAGAGGCAGAGAAAATTTTCTGATTTTAAAATAAAAAGACTTTGGAGTCACATTTTAAATCCACACGTTTTAAAACAAAAGAGAAGTCACAGTACACAAACTGTAGGAGCCACAGAATGCAAAAATAAATAGATAAATAAATCCAGCAACCATTATTACAGCAAACAGACCTCTCAGTCTAATTTTACATTTTAAAATTACAGTCTAATTTTCACATTTTAAAATTACAGTCTAATTTTCACATTTAATTTAAATTTAATATTACAGTCTAATTTTCACATTTTAAACCCACACTGCAAGACCCATCAGAGCACAGAAACATAACCCCCCCACCTAGCCCAAACCCATGCTGCAAAAACCCTGTACAGTACATACAGTACTCACCCAGAACAGGCAGTCTCTCTGCTTTAAAAAAGAAAGTCAAAAATCCAAAAAGCAATTTTTTAAAAAAAAAGCCAAAAAAAAAAATTCCAGTACCAGGCAGTCTGAAGTTTCTTTCCGTGTCCACACTCTCTAACTGTTGGGGCAAACGAAGTACCGAGAAGCAGCCTCTTCACTGACCAACGGTTAACTGAAAGCAGTTCAAATTTCCCGCTTTCCCCACCTTCCTTATGTTTTTTTTCCAGTCATAAGTCAAAGTTCCAGTCGCAAGTCAAAGCAAAATTTTTGCGACCGGAGCGGTTCGTAACTCGAAATGGTCGTAAGTCAGGATGTTCGTAAGTCGAGGCACCACTGTATGTCCAAATGGAAGTTGTCTCTCTGCTTTTTCTATATACTTGGAACTGTCCTTTTAACCTTAAACCTGCAGGAGCCCAGAGCTTGCAGTGGGTTTGCATGGGGCACTTACTGTGTGTCCTGTCAACATTCTATACAGTATAAAGGATTTAAATGTTGCTGCCACCTCCTGTTTCTATGTAGCAATGAAATCCAGCTGTATTGAGATGTGAATCCGGTTGCCCTAGGCTTGAATAGATCTAGTAGTGTCCATTCTACTGGTATCGTGACTAATGAGTCTTGTAGTGGCTTACTCATAAGTCTGCCTCTGATGCAATGGTGAGCTGTAGAATATTTTGGAAATCAAATCCATATTGAAGAGTTAATTCTTTATTCCTATATCAAAGGCATGAACTTTGGGAAAAGTTGATGTCTCATGTGATTTGAGTGTAAGAATGCTGAGTAAGTTCATCAGTTATTTATTTTGGTAGTTTTTTTAACTCAACCTTTTTGTATTTCAGTTGTGATAGTTCTTTAAAACAGCACTGCACCTTGTTTTGCTCACTTCCGTTTCTACAAATCTGGAAGTCCACTTTCATTATTGGGGTCAGCAGTGGGTCTTGGGGGCTACAACCCTTGGAACTTGCCAACATTTGTTGTAAACCAGGGCAGGCAATATGTGTCACATTTTAAGATTCTGTTTTCTAAAAAACCTTTTGCTCAGAATGTCCCCATGGACATATGAGGGACATTTTATCATAGAGGGGTGACACTGTAAAATGTTTTTAAATGTGTGTGTTTTTAAAATTGACCAATGGACAACACAAATGTTCTTTTCCATGGAGAGGGGTCACCTACAACTCTAGCCTCTAGTCCAGGGATCGACAGGTGTCTCTTTAGGAGTTTGACCATCCCTGCTCTCAACCAGCCACAGAGGGGAGCGTGTTGGAATAAGTATGCAGGGGAAACTTTTATGTTAATCTACCGTAAGGACTGGCAGTTTTTAAAAGATGATTTGTGTTGGATCTCTTCGTTTTCTGTTTGAATAGGCGGTGCTAACAAAACTCTGGCCACTGAAAATGTAAGCAAATTGCTGTTTCTGCCAGAAGCTTATTTTCTCCTCAGCTATATTATGGGATTCCCTATCTTTGTGACATGTAGGTTGGTGAATCTTCCGCTTCCCACATATTCTGTGCAAGCAGTAAGATATTGTGTGTGTGTAAACCAGTGCATTTACTACAGCACACACTTGTCAACTCTGAATTGCACTGTGGCACTGATTGCCTGGTGCATTTGGTGTATTTTCTACAGAAGAGACCCCAAAAAGTCCCCCCCATCAGTTTAGTTGCTGGTGGAGTTCCTGACTTCCTTCTTTGAAAGCTTAAGTTTTTAGTTTGAGTTCCTGTCCACTTCCTTTACTTTAGGATATTTCAATTGTATGTTTCACCCCCAGGCAAAGCCATTTTGCCATCTTTGGAAGCCAGAGTGGATGCTAATTCTGAGTGATGTGTTCACCAGAAATATGTTTGGTTTGCCTTTGCAGATTTGGTAGGAGCAAAAGCAGGTGTACATAAGAATTTATACAACTCCCCCCCATTATGTACTGTATATCAATAATAAATAAATACTTAAGGAGTTCGGTCTCCCTCCCCCTCCTGTGAGTTTGCTCAGGATTCACTTTTTTTGGTCTGCCAGATGCATGGTTGAGCAGTGCTTTGAATTCAGGTCTCTTGAGTCCTAATCTGTCATTCTCTTTACTACACCATACTATTATCCTTATTGTGAGGATAGGTGGCACAAATTATAAAATAGTTTGTGTGCTGGACTTGGGCAAGTTACAATATTACATTAAAAAGCTACTGTAAGGCAGTGGTTTTCAATATTTGGCCTTCCAGATATTTTGGACTTCAGCTCCCAGAAGCCACAGCCAATGTCCAAGAATTTTTAGATCTGAAGGTCAAAACACATAGAAGGCCAGAAATGAGAAGTACTGCTTTAAGCTGTTTTTTGCATGACTTTTACAGTACTGTATTGCAATACAGTATGCACAAGGGAAAAGACTTTATCTAAACCAGTGTTGTGAATTTTTTGTAGTGAGATGTGAAGAACTACTGGGGAGTTTGACACCTGTGGCTACCAGGATGATTTGGAAAAACAGAAGCTTTGGCTTCTTAGAAGAGACCAAAGTTTCCTTTAAAGCAGTGGTCCCCAACCTTGGACCTCCAGATGTTCTTGGACTACAACTCCCAGAAGTCTTCACCGCCACCTCTGCTGGCCAGGATTTCTGGGAGTTGAAGTCCAAGAACATCTGGAGGCCCAAGGTTGGGGACAACTGCTTTAAAGTATTCTGTTCCAGATGCTCAGTTTCTTTTGATCCCAGTTCTCTTGCTATTTATTGTTCTGGTGTTCTTCATTTTTCCTAGTGTTGAGCTTCCTATTAAAAAGTTCTATCTTGAAATGTGTTTTGTTGGCACTGTGCAGTTACTCTGCTTGGGCTTCTCCCTGTGTTTTCTTTCAGAGTATGAGGATGACAAAATCTCCTTGCCATTTGTTGTGACAGATCTGCGAGGAAGGAATTTGAAGCCACTGAAGGAGAGAGCAGTTTGTCAGGTGAGGGCTAGTTATAGAAACCTCTGTTAACTGGAGAAGAGATGCGGCTCTGTCAGTGGGGGAATGACACTTTTTACTAATTGACATCAAACTTCATAAGGAAAATTTGATGTCCTGCTAATGCAGACTTATGATGGGTGAGCTTCATCAGAAGAGATATCATGGTGGTGCTCAAGTCATGATTTAACAAGAAGCCTTGAGCTCGTTGAGAAAAGATTATTAAAACTATGACAAGATTATTAAAGCAAGTTTCTCATATGAACTTCAGCATTTCCTGTATGTCCTTTGGTTCTCCGTCTCTTCTGCTTAGCTTAATGTTGATGACATCTTGATGTGCTCTGCAAATGGGTCACTTCTGTTAGGACATTTCTCCACTGAATACCTGCCCCAAATGTTTACCTCCCAGGGAGTTCGAATTATGAGCTGATGAACTTACAGTGGTGCCACGCTTAACGGGCGCCCCGTTTAACGATGAATCCGCATAGCGATGCGGATTTTGCAATCGCAAAAGCGATCGCATCGTGATGTTCCCTATGGGGAAAAATCGCTTTGCGATTTTTCCCCATAGGCCCCATTTTCCCCCAGCTGACCGGCGGGGGTTTCGGAAGGACCACGAGGGAGCCCTCCCCTGCGCTCCTTCCCAAGAGCCCGCCCGTCAGCTGGCCGAAAAAGCGCTGGCACTTCGGAAGGAGCGCGGGGGAGCCCTCCCCGGCGCTCCTTCCCAAGAGCCTGCCCGTCAGCTGGCCGAAAAAGCCGCGGGCGCTTCGGAAGGAGCGCGGGGGAGCTCTCCCTGGCGCTCCTTCCCAAGAGCCCGCCTGTCAGCTGGCTGAAAAAGCCCGGGCGCTTCGGAAGGAGCGTGGGGGAGCCCTTCCCGGTGCTCCTTCCCAAGAGCGCGCCTTTCCGCTGATCGGCGGTTCCAAAATGGGCGCCAGATCAAGAAAATGGCCGCCCGCAGCATTTTCACGCCTTGCCCTCGCTTACCGAGGCGGCGAAAATGGCGGCTGGATGGGGAATCTTCGCTTACCAGTGAGTTTCCCCCCATAGGAACGCATTAAACGGAGTTTAATGCGTTCCTATGGGGTTTTACTTTCTAGATAGCGATGTTTTTCCTGGAACGGATTAACGTCGCTATGCGGGGCACCACTGTATTTACAAAAGGCATGTTGTGCAGCTTCCTGGTGACTATAATTATGAATGTTTTCTTTATTAAATTTATATCTATCATTTTTTTCACATCTAGAGTTGAACATATAGCACAGTATAACTTAGTTTATTCTTTCACTTTATATTTTACTATCTGAGTAACTACAAGGATTGGGTTAAGACTCCAGTGAGGCATTTAAGGTTGTCGTGTTCATGAGCAGTCTTATGTTAGCAGTTATTAGGGCATGACTGGATATCAATCTGATTGTTTTCTGAACCTCTAAAATTCTTGACAATATAACCTGTGATATTATTATAAGCCATTCTTGAGGACTTTTGCCTTTTGTGAGAAGTGTAATTTGGGCTGCTTGCATTTAACTCCTGTTAAACTGTTGACTGACGCCTACTGCATCTATTTTCCCCATTCTGTGAGCAGAAGCTCATCTTATTCTGCCAGGTAGTAAATTCTGTACTTCATTAAAATTTCCTCCTGAAACTCCTTGACACACAATTTAAACAAAAATACACACTAATTGCTTGGTTACAAGTAAAATGTGTAGTTTTGCAACTAAAGAGAACCTTCAGAGTATGTAGGAGGAGACAATGTGAGCACAAGGTATATAATAAAAGTACAAAATTGTTTATTTGAGGAGTAATAAGATATAAGATGGTGTGTTCTAGAATTATTTGTGCTGTTATGCTGGACCCCTGGCCTCATGCACCAAACCAATGTAATGCAGTATGTAGAGTGCATTTTTTGGAAATGCTTAGAAGTTGCCCACAGTTCACACAGGAAAAGCAGTTAGTAGCTCAGTGGACTTGATAGATGGTAATGTTAATGGATTAAATTTTAAGAGAATCATGTAAGTATATTTTATTTTCAACATATTGTTCTAAATTCAAATCTTAGATTTAACCTAGGTATATCTACAACTGCAATTATTTCTTTTTTAGTTTTGAAAAACTACTTTAAATATTTTAAAAATTCCATTAATAAAATCTATGGGATTTTGAGGGAACTCCTGCCCAAATTAGAGAAAACTCATATTAACAGTGATCCACAAAATAATCCATGTGCTGACAAAATGGAGTAGTCTGTACACGTAGGCAGTGGTTGAAGCAATAAGCACCAGACTTTAGTCAAAGTCAAAGTATATTTAAAGGACCAAAAACTTCATGAAGCCTCACCTAAGACTTTGTCTGAGATTTTGAAGCTAAACTCTTGGATGCTGAAGGTTTATTTTGATAAAAGAAATGCCCACAAAATGGGTGGAGTAGTATGTTAGATGAAATGCTGAGAGCAAGATCTCTTGGTTCAGATTCTGAGAGGCTAATATAGATCTGCTCATCAGCCGAAGAGTTTGAATTATGAACTGGTCAGCTTAATTTAGCAAATATATGCTGTATGTCGCAATAACTTTAGGAACATTTTTCTTTATTGAATTCTACTCATAAGGGCAGTACAGCATACAGGCGCAAAAGCAAGTAACTGGATGGACTGTATATAAGAAATTGTCATGTCAGGATCCTTCCTAATGTGCTGATTTCCATAAACCCCCTACTGTTGCTGTACCCACCCTTGCCATGATTCAGTTTCTTTAAATTCAGAATTGAGTTTTACAAATTGTTTGTGAAACTTTGTAATTCTCTCTTCTGACTTGAATTTATGGCGGTCATTGAGCATTTTTAATATTCTTATGGCTGCTTTAGGGATGTAAATCAGGAGTGAGAATCCAAAGTCCTCCAAGGTATCATTTGACACTCCTGTCATTACTGACCATTAGCCATACTGCCTATACCAATGAAGAACTATATTGATCCCCATCTATGGTGTAAATGGGCTGAATAAGATTGTGCAGTTGGACACTGATAGCCATTTGGGAAATTGGAAGGAAGATTATTGAGTGTACCTCCCAAAGGTTGATGATTTAAAAAGAGGACCATCTGGTTTAGGTTGTATAAGGAACGGATGATTATATGCTTGTCTACTATTCATGCTGTGTGTCTTCTTTCCTTTCCAGGGACAATACTTAACCGTGGAACAGCTGACTCTAGATTTTGAATATGTTATTAATGAGGTGATCCGGAACGATGCATCATGGTCTAAGCAGTTTTGCTCCTTCAGTGACTATGACATTGTCATTTTAGAGGTAGGGACCTGGTGGGTGGATGAACAAACCAACGACCTCATTTTGAGGCATAGGGGCCATTTCAGATTTGACTTTGAGGAAACATTGTTTTGCAGGGACAGACTTAATCATCTCCTAGCTTGAGAGGAAGGGCTTTACTGTCTCTGAATGAATTTTTGCAGTATTATTGTTACTTTGGTTTAACTTTGAGGGTAGAGTAGGATATAAATTTCTATGATGAAATATCCAAAATACTTTTGGTTGCTTTCATCGCTGTAGTATGGTCAACCAGAGCCTCTAGGACTCATCTAAAAGTTTTATATTTTTTCTGGTTGGCTCTTCTTCTCTCAGGGGAAAAAGCAAGAATAGCTAATTAGCATCCCCACTGCTTGATTTTTAAGTATGGGATGTGATGGTGGCAGCTTCTACAGAATGCTTGTCCTTCCAAGTTGGAAATGGTTCTGTGACTCACTTTCCAAATCTGGCACAAATGAAGGCTTGCCTTAAAGATTCCCATTTTTTTCTCTGAAAGATCCCTCCCCCTGTCTTGAGCTTGCGTGGTTTGGGTTCTCCCTAGCCAAACTTGTCGTGCGGTCTGATGACTGGGAAGGGAGAGTTCAAACCTGAGTAGCTTTTCCAGGGAGGTCATAGCCCCACCCCTCATCGTCGTCATGTTCTGACCTGCACTGGTTTAGCACAAGTTTAAAACCTTGGTTTGTTAATTGTGCTCTCTGTAGAGACATCACAATGGAGCAAGTGTTTGAATCATGGCTCCCTGTTTTGAAAAGAATCAAGCCGACAATTAGTTCTGACCTGCTACTGTAGCCAGGGTGCAGTTTAGTTCAGGTTGCTTCCTTTACCAGCTCTTGAATTTATTTTTCTAGGTATGTCCTGAAACCAACCAGGTTATTATCAATATTGGACTCTTGCTCTTAGCGTTCCCTTCTCCTGATGAAGAGGGACAGCTCAGGTGAGTTCATCCCTTAGTTCTCTGTACATCTTCTTTTTTCCTGATTGCATGAGATCTTTGCTTTGCCCTGAAGAAGTTATTGTTAAGTTGTTAGCCCTATCTGCAGGAGTGGAAGAAAGCAGAATATGGCTTAATATGGTTTAAAGACATGCACCAGCCGTGAGTGAAGTGGGGCCACTAGGGCCTCCCTTTAAAAAAATAAAAATAAACCCAAGCTTTGTAGAGCACGTGAACTGCCTGCTTGAGACCCTGGAGCTTTCAGAATCAGAAATGAGTTCTGATCACTTCTGTTTTTTGGAAATGGACTTCTCTGGGCCTTTCATCTCAGGAGAACCCCAAAAGTAGCAAAACTGCCTCTGCACACTCTAGAAGGAGACCTTTCTTTTCTTTTAATCGAATGCGTGCACACACGCACACGCAGAATGGCTTCCAAAGCCCAGGGATGAGCTTGCGTGGAGCCTGAACTCTTGAAAGTTAACCACCCAGTGCACACTTTCCAATGTAAATCTCCAGACCTACTCATTGAGACATGCTTCCTACTTAGGGAGTGAGCAACATATGACCTCCAAAACCTGCTGGGTGCCTCCCAGCACTTCATTTCCCCTCCACGGGGAGGAATTGCCTGGAAAGTACCCTTATGTATCTTAGCAGGTATGGGAGTAATTTTCTTAACATTTCAGAAACCTTGTGCCACTTAATTCAGCCTACTATTGCAAACTGTGTGCTATAGGAGAAGGGGAAAAAGGGGGTGGGATGTTTCAATTGCACTGAATAACGCTTCTGCTTTGCCAGCTGTTATGTTTTCATTTTGGTTTTCAGTAGAGCTAAATGAAATATCAGAACACTTTAATCTGGCAAAATTCAGATTTTTATTTTGAACATCTTGAAATTGGGCTGATATCCTATTGCTTTGATATACATGCAGAAGGCATGTATAGTTCGCAGTTAATGGGATTCTTGAGTGTGTACCAAATCAGTGGGTACACATGCCACTGAGATTCCCAGCAATGAATGAGAATGCTAGTGTTAATTGCTATAAAGAAGCAACTGTATGTTACACCATTTGCTTTCCATGTGTGTTACAAAGCAAAGGGATTTCAGCTATAGGCTTCTTAACTATTCATTTTTTGCTCATGTCAAATAAGTCTTATAGGATATAAAAATATTGTCAGAATACTTATGGTATGTGTGAGGGTTCGAGTTCAGGCTCCAGTTTTGCTTCAAATAAATCATTAGACTTGTGAGGTTTGGAAATTGGTGTAACATTTATTGCATTGTTTAACAGGAAACACTTGTCAACCTTGAAGGGGTTTTCCCCCCAAACGTTCCAGGGTCCTGGCCAGTCCAGGGCTAAATTTGGGTCTAGTAACTGTCCAGGCTCCCCTTCCAGTAAGGGGACGGTGTCTTCATCCCTGTCATCCAACCAGACCGGTTCTCTGGAAGGGGAGCCCGCCTGCCAGGGTTCTCTGAACGCCCCTTTGTCTGCAACTCCCACACCTTCCTTTCTCTTCTTTCTCTCCTTTCCCTCTCAACTTTCTCCTTCTCCTCTCTTAATTTTCTTCTCCACTCTTTTGTTTCTCTCTGGCCCCAGTAGGAAGGATTTTGGGTGTTTTGTCTCCTCCTCCGGGCATCTGCCTCCTCTTTGGGGATCCGTAGCTTCTCCACCTTGCCAGTCCATGGATCTTCTAGCCATATCCCTTCCCAGCCTGGCGGTAACTCCCCTTCTCCTCCCTTTATATCTGCCAGGCTTGCCTCTGCTTCTACCCGTGGCTTTCGCTCAGTTCCTGCCAAAACAGTCCTGTTCTCTTTGACCATTAACTCTTTCAAATTCTCCTCCATCTTCTCCTGGTCTGATCCAGGCGGTTTTATCTTCCTGGGAGGGGGAATTGGCAGGGTCTGTATTTCCTTATCGGCAGTAAGTTGGAGGGACGGCACTCCTGTGAGAGGGACTTTACTCTCACCTCCAGTCGTACAGTATGTCATCTCTCAACTATTGAAAAGCACCACATTCTGGCTATCAAATATATTCTAATCTCTGTTCTGAAGTATTGAAATCAGATACCAGACATAATATATCACTCTTAAGTTTTCTGACTGCTCAGATAATGCCTAAATACATGACACATTTTTAGAGGAAATTCCTTGAGAGATGCTTAATTTCAGTTCTGGTTCTAAGTTTCTTCCAAGAGGTAAGAACTCGGTGTGGACAGAGGGTGCAGGTTGGCACAGGTCTAATATTTGTTCAGTGTAAGCTGATAAAACATGACTGTGTTAGAGGATGGGAAAGAGATGTTGGAACATACTTACTGAGTAGACAATTCTTTTTGTCCTTCAGAGGCTCATAAAACTTTTTGTTAAATAATCTGCCTGTTGCCTTCTGCAGGCCGAAGACCTATCACACCAGCCTCAAAGTTGCTTGGGATTTGAATACTGGAATCTTTGTCACTGTTAGTGTGGGAGACCTCACAGAAGTCAAAGGGCAGACCAGGTAAGGTGTCTTTTCTTGTATTCTGTGGCTTGCTCTAGAATGAGTTGTCTGTGAACCTACATGCATTTGAAGAGAGGAATAGACCCCCCCCCAAAAAAGAGCCAGACTGCCCAATAGTAGGGGATATGCTTTAGCAATAGCCTTCACAGGGAGGTTTGCTTGGGCCACCCTTGTAGTCTTTTCAGGGCCTGCTGGAGACTTCTGTTCACCTCAGCCCTTTAATGGCTAACAAGCAGCTTTGTTGGCCATTAAACCAACTCCAAAATCCAAACACTTTATTGGGGTAATTGTTGTTGTTGTTAGTTGTTAAGTCATGTCCGACTCTTTGTGGCACCATGAACCAGAGCACGCCAGGCCCTCCTGTCTTCCACTGCCTTCTGGAGTTGTGTCAAATTCATGTTGGTAGCTTCGGTGACGCTGTCCAACCATCTCGTCCTCTGTCGTCCCCTTCTCTTCTTGCCCTCCCACTTTCCCAACATCAGGGTCTTTTCCAGGAAATATTGCAGTAATACCAAAAGAAAAAAAAGGTTAGCCCAATAAAAGTATTGACCTAGGATTTCAGCCTCTACAAAACTAGGTAGTCTGGGTTTCCCACTTTTGTTTGGTTGTATATGTGTCTTTTTAAAAACATGCCTTTTAAGTTTCTTTTGTATTTTAACCATTTTTATATTTATTTATTCATTGTAAGTTGCCCAGCGTTATGGGGCAGAATACAAATGTAAATAAAATACGTCAGTAGTGTGGAACATCTGCTTCCTGACTAGTTGCCAAGGCTCATGGTGGCCTGTGAGAATTTAGGGAACATGAGTAGGCACAGACATTGGTTTTTCTGAGGCCTTCTATGTCCCACCACCAAGAGAGGCTAGGTTGGTGGGTACAAAGACCTTTTCTACAGCATTTCTACAGCGCACCCCAACTGTGGATAATGGGTTTTGTTTTCATTTCTTGTAATTTTATTAGATTTCATACATCACTATAAGTGCACTGTTGGTCAGAAGAGCCGTATATAGATATTTTAATTAAATATATCAAAGCAGCTCTTGAGATGAATGCATGTTCATGGCTCTTTAGGTAGGCTTTCCCTCCTGTCATCACTTGATTATTTTTCCCCATCTTGAACCATATTACTGTTGTTGCTTTTTGATTTATTATACTGTTTTTATTCCATCTTTATTGTTAGCCGCCCAGAGTAGACTTGTGTCTAGATGGGTAGGGTATACATTAAATGAATGAATGAATGAATGAATGAATGAATGAATGAATGAATGAATGAATGAATGAATGAATGAATAAATAAATAAATAAATAAATAAATAAATGTTCCTTTTTGCATTGGCTGGAGATGTCACTTAATAATGCTTGAAGAAGCTTTCAGTCTTGGCTCTTTCAAAATGGCTAGACACTAAGCTAGTGTCTTTTTGGGGATTTTACTTCATATTATTGATTCATAAAGACTGCAAGAGCAACTTTCTGCTGTTTCACTTGTAAGTTTCTCTACCGATTTCTGTCGCCTCCCCCATTCTGTTATTCTTTCAAATGTTGCTAACTTTTTATTACCTCTTAGAATACCCCCTTGTTTCTTCCTTTCCCCTTTTGTTGTTAAGAATGTTCACAGCCGCACACAGTTTAGCTGCACATGGGAACCCCATGCTTGGTCACCATCAGCTAGGTTACATTTGGAAATATTTCTCTTACAGCAGTGGTGAATAAATTGGGCCTCACTGCTGTTTTTGGATGGCTGCTTCCATTATCCCTCAGCATTGACTGTGATGGTTAATAGGTGATGCAGTCTACTAAAAGCATACATTCTCCAGCCTTTGTTTTACATTTCCTCCTTTCAGAAAACATCAAATTCTGGGTTTGATCTGGCGTCTTGACTTGTGCTAGAGCAAAATTAAGAGTTACATTATCACAGACATCTGAAATGAGAAATCCTAATACTGCCCAACATAAAGCTTGCCTTGCATGAGACAGGGAACTTATTGAAGTCACCCATGAATGTCTGGGCCCAGGCTGCCTTGGCCGAGACAGCTCCCATGCTTCAAGAAGGGGATGCAGGTCTAAGCATTTCATTCATATGTGCCCTAGAGGCTCATTCTGTAGTACATAAGAGGATATGAAGATGGGGAAATCATGACTTCTCCATTACACCGGTTTCCTCCTCAGTACTCTGTAGATAAGAGCGCTAGGGTCTTTGGAGACCCTTGCCTACAGACCATGATGTTGACAGCTCTCTCTCTCTCTCTCTCCCCCCCCCACCTACGATTCCTCCCTCAGTGGCAGTGTGTGGAGCTCCTATAGGAAAAGTTGTGTTGACATGGTCATGAAGTGGCTGGTGCCAGAGAGCAGTGGCCGCTACGTCAACAGGATGACCAATGAGGCCCTTCATAAAGGTAAAGCTCCCTAGTTCTGGACTAGAGGCCTTGGGCATCTTCGCAAGGCATAGTGGGCTTAACTGGCTGGCCAGTATTGGCATGGCAATCTCATGCAAGCCAAGCAAGCATGTGATGCTTTCTGTGTTTGCCACTGATAAGGACAAGTACTTGCTTTACTGGGCCAGCTCTTAGCATGTTTATGGGGTTACAGAAAGGTGAAATACATGTCTTGTTTCAGAATATGACATCTCATTCACGTACTTACTTTGTTGCTTGAACCTGGGCCCTACTTCCCTCTCCTTCATTTGTCCTTGGGTGACAGCTTTCAATAGAGCTTTTGGAGGACAGTGGCAATGCAGTGCTAGTTCTGCTGTGGTGACATCTAACTTTAGAGGAGTAGGTTCCAAAATCCCACCTTGGGCTGTTTGTTCCCGTCTCACTCAAAATTATGGTGGATTCCTGGAAGATTTTTAATGTTTGGATTTCAGGGACACTTACCATTGACCACAATGACTGCTAATGCCTTATTTTCCTTCTCCCTTGCAGGCTGCTCCTTGAAATTCCTTGCAGACAATGAGCGTTACACATGGATTGTCTTATGAGGCCTGGTTCGGAGACAATGCCTACATCAGTAGTTCATTTCCTGCCATAACTGTGTGTCAGATTCAACTACCTCCTTGTTAAAAGTTGTTTTTAATTTCCCCACCCCTTTTGACTAGACAGTGGCCCAGATGACCTTCAGCAGATTGGACCCGATTTGTGGGTACAGCCACATCATCTGCTTCACAGGTAGCGTGGGAAAAACAGATCTGGTCCAGATGTTTTGGAAAACCTACCTCTTCTTGCACATTAGATCTATGGATTGGGCTGCACAGATTCCAGCTGAGCTAGAAAGCTCCCTGAAATGCAGGAAGCTGAAAACGATTTGCTTCGGTATGTCTATCTGGATTTTGTGATGCTGCAAGGAGTCTTTAAGAGGTGAGAGTCTTGTGCATGGTTTGCCCACCCCTGGTGCTATACAGTGATTGATTCCAGGGAAGTTCTGTTTAATGAGACCAAAAAAAAAACAAAACCCTTCTGTGTTCCAGGCTCTTCCTCCACCCCCACTGGAGGATTCATTTTCCCCTCTCATGCATAGATGCCATCCTGCTTTTTAATTTGTCTTAGCAGGCATTCTGATTCCTGCAATAAAACATTTAAACTTGACATTGACTCTTGCTCTTTCCTGTGTTCTTTGAGAGAAGACTGGGAATACAAGCACTCACCGAGCCTCCTAACACTGCGGTGTGTCTTCATAGTATGGACCCGGGACTCCTGAAGCTACTAACTTCAAAAAGAAACATACACATGTATGCTGATGCTGTTTTTGTGGCCCAGCTGGGCAAATGTGAGAAGTTTGTTTATATTTTATTCATGTCACCCAAGATGATGTACACTGGAGTTCAAAGTTGGTCTGCTTGGAGACTCAGATCTGTCCAGTTCCAGCCTGCTGCAAAAATGTAGATTCCATGTTGAGGTTCATTAGGACAGAAATACAAACTAAAATAGCCTATAACAATGTATTTATATAAATGAGCACATGGACCCTGCTTGAAATAACACATAACAGTTCTGGATACTGTATCTTAGAATGGATATTGTAGTAGAGTCCATGTGAGGACTAACTCCTGTATTTGTGGCTATTCAGTGCAGAGAAGAGTTCTGCGTGGTTGTGGGGTACACACACTAGAGGTCTATAGCGTGATGTATGGTGTGGAAAAAGCAGTCAAGAATTTTTTTTCTGTCCTAAAGTAAGAATGCAGGGTCATCCACTGAAGCTGAATGGAGGGGAATTCAGAACCAATAGATATCCTTGCCATCACTCATAGTCAGACATTGGCATTTGTTATTAGAAGGTACAACAACAGCAGCTGCCTGTTTCAGCAACCTTATAAGTGATTATACAAATCTATGAAAGACAAATACTGTATGTCATTGGTTCCTACTTCTAGGATATTTCTGAATGCTTGCAGACAGAAGCAAGAGAGTGCTACTGTACTCATACCCTGTGCATGAGTGTTGTACAGAAATGTGGTTGGCCACTTTGAAAACAGAAGGCTGCATTTAATAGGCCGCTGGTCTGCTGCTGCATAGCTCCGGGGACATTAATTTTTCCTTCTTTGTATTACAGTACAAAGAATATGCAGGGGTATTTCCAGACTGAAAGGTCCTTGCACTAGCAGAGTATATAGCAGCAGAAACATGGCTGCAAGATGTTCTGTCTTGATTTTCTTAGGAGTGCAGATAAAATTCTTCCTTCTACAGCTGTGATGGTTCATGAGTCTTATGAGTAAGGGCATTTTCACATAGCCATCCAATAGGAGTATGGAGAACAAAAAGTGTTGCACCTTGTGATTGACAGCAGCTGAGATGTATATTTGCCTAAATACCTCTGACTTAAAACAAATCCTATGCAAGAAACCTTTCATCTAAAATTTGTGCTTGGAAGACTCTTCTTCTCTGTCCTAGCAGCTCTCCTTCACATTGCTGCTCTTCGTCTCCAGCTGGTACAGCACAGTTGACAGGAGTTAGGTGACTGTGCACACTGGGAATACATCAAAGGGAAGCCACACAGGCCTCTGGTACTCTTAGGTAAGAAGCTCCTGTAATCTCTGCAAAAAAAGCCATTCTTGTTTTGCCCGTAAGATTCACAGCCTTATACAAGTCACAGAACACTTCTGCTGAAGTTGTCCTGCTTGTAGGTTTACGATGTGTGTTTTGAGGTAAAGTTCAGTTTGGCAAGAGTAAGAAGCAGCATTCTAGGCAAAGAACACAGCTGAATTTATTTCTTAAGAAAGAACTACAAAAGGTAGAAAACAGCTTTTGCACTCTAGACTACACACACACATACATCATCTGAACCACAGGCACTGCCCATCTCATGGACCCAGGACACCTACAAAGCTCTTCAAACTCCACTTGAAGTCTCTAGTGCAGCTAAAGCTGCTGTTGCCGCACAAAAGATTGACACAAAATATATATTTTATACAATATGTAGATTTTGCAATAAACATCTATATCACAGGTTTAAAACACTGGAAAAATTGAACAAATAAGGCCATGATGGTTGAAAAACCCAAAAATATCAAGTAATTTATCTTCACCAATCTCACAATATTTAGGTGGTTTATAGAACAAGAATTAGTAATTACATATAAAAGCACAGATATTTTTTTCTGTTTAAAACTAGAATATCTAATATTCAGTTACAAACCCAAAGAGTGATTACTTTCTTTAGAGTAGGAAGTAACCAAATCTGTTTGCTTAGTTACTAGCACAGGGAGGGAACAAAGGATTGAGTTCTGTTTAAAACCAAGGGCTGCTATGCTCTCCGCTAGCAAGGATTTCTACAGTCTGGAACAGTCAGACTGAGTTGAGCTTGCTAATAACTGTCCCTAGCTGCTCTGCAGCTAATCTGTTGAGTGGACAGAGAGAATTCTGATTCAGAGGGAAAAGGGTTTCATTGTTGTGTAAGGCAGCAACTGAAAAAAAAGGTAAGCTCATTCATGTTGTTGAGTCCTGTGTAATTGGTGGATCCAGCATTCTGCACAGTTCATAGAGGGAATAGCTAGCTCACAGAAAGCAAGGTTTTTACAAACAACTAGATCCATTTTCCTTACCAACGGTAGGACTTTCCTAAAGCTAAAAGCCAATCTGCATACATGTCAGAGAGCAGGGATGGGAAATGCTGGAACAGAGAAGTTCTTGAACCTTGATTAGTGTGCCTGTTCCTTATAGACTATTGTTTTTTCCCTGTTGCAGCACAAATCATAACCTTTATGCACTGATGAACACACCCATACACTTCATAAAGCAGTATATGTTCACAAATCTGTGACAATGAAGTTGATGTTCATTTTATGTATACCAGAAACAGTGTACTGTAGAAACAAAGCTCATCATGGTTGAATGTACATCAGTTGGCTGTGAATCATTAGTGAAGATAATAAGGAGGCATGTATGGTAACTAAGGTGCATCTCTGAGAAGATGAGTGCTTATGCAAGGCGGCAATTCACTATGAAGCCTGTAACAAAGTGGGGGGGGGAATACACCTCTGCCACTTGTACCTTGACAGTGCTGCCTTCTTGCTAGAGTTCAAAATAAAGAGGTGCTCTATGTGCAAACATCTCTCTCCAGTGTAGCAATTTGCTACAAGAGAAGAACAACAGTGTTGGCACCTTGTATTTCCCACTTCAATTCACTTTAAGGAGAAACTTACTGGTTTACAGACTGGGCTACTGTCTTAATGAGCCCTTCACTACAGTAGTCTAACTTAGGTTGCATTTTGAATAGGGGCTGTAAAGTGGGTGAATTCCTATTGTACACTACACACACACACAGTGAAAAAGAGGACAGACCCATTAGATGGATCCATGTCATAAAGCTTGTTTGTGATCCTGATCGTGTGAAAGCCATGGCTCTAGGCCAGGGGTGGTTACTGTCTTAATGAGCCCTTCACTACAGTAGTCTAACTTAGGTTGCATTTTGAATAGGGGCTGTAAAGTGGGTGAATTCCTATTGTACACTACACACACACACAGTGAAAAAGAGGACAGACCCATTAGATGGATCCATGTCATAAAGCTTGTTTGTGATCCTGATCGTGTAAAAGCCATGGCTCTAGGCCAGGGGTGGCGAACCTTTTTGGGCTCGCATGTCCAAACTGGTCGGGGGGGGGCAGTGAGCTGCTGCCGCTGGAACCAGAAGTGGCAGCAGAAGGGAATCCTGGGCACGGAGGTGCCTCGAGACCCCACTCCAGATCAGCCACCAGCACCAGCTACTCTGGATCCTGACCCGCGCCTGTCCACGCACCAGCAACACAGCTGTGGCTGCCTGCTCAGGTTTGGCTGCGGGGGGAGGGGAGGAGCAATCCGGCAACTTATGGCTCGCATGCCGGCAGAAAGGGCTCCACTGCCAGCTGTGGCATGCGTGCCATAGGTTCGCCATCGCTGCTCTAGGCAATATAAGCAGTAGAAGTGTTGCTAAGATCCTATTTGGCTGAGCCGAGGAAACACAAGATGTAATAGTGAGGAACAGTGGGCTTCTCTCTGGGTTTGCTATTTCTGTCCTTACCTAGTGGGTTTGAAGGGGAAGCTGTTGCCTATTGAGCAGAACATAGAAAAACAAATCTGCTATCAGCCTGATCAGCCCATACTTACTAAATTGCCATACAAATGCCTTTATGGGGAAACTTGCATCCAGAAATTCCCATTATGGACATAGAGATGAGTTGCTTGGAACTGAGAGAGAACGGGCAATTTAAGAGGATTTTAAGCCATCCCTCTCCCCTTTGGGGCCTTATCTACAAGCTTATGAAGGTGCACATATATTTCCTTGCACTGCACTGGTTAGAACAGTTGTGTAGGACTGCTTTGCAGCATCACCGACTTGACCTGAAAAGATCCATAGGGAAGAGAACACTAGCATCCAAATACGTCTACCCTGAAAACCAGTGATAAGTGAATGTTTTCATACAGGCATACTGTCTTTACATGTCACTTTTTAAATCTGACTGAATCAACCTGCAAAGGAACGGCACATGAAGCTTCTGTTGCACTGGCTGCTGCTACTGGAGCCCAAGTCTCTGTGCTTTGCTACAAGTACCTGTGAGGGAGAAAATACAAGCCCACGTATAGGGTATCAGCCCAGGAACATTTGCAACCACTTATGCTCCTCCTCATAACATCCCGGAAGGGGGATGCAAAGGTTAGAATTTGCATTGCTGGCCCCAGGAACATTTGCAACCACTTATGCTCCTCATAACATCCCGGAAGGGAGATGCAAAGGTTAGAATTTGCATTGTTGGCCTGGCAGAGATTTCTGCCCTGAAACCTGCCTCTTTACCCCCTTCCCCACCTGTTTTGTTTTTTTCCTCCATATCTTGCCACAGATCAGGTGGGCTGTAGCCACCTAGCAATGCAGTTAGTGTGATTTCGCTCAAATCTACTCAGTAACACTTTACTTTAACCAAGCTACTTGGCAACATAGCTGGTGGTAGACTGCTAATGTATGGGTGCCGGGTAGGTTTAAAGTGCACTCTGTTCCACAGTGATACTGAGGAAGGTTATCTTCTGCAACTTAAGACCCATCTTGCTAGAACAGTGGTTTCCAAAGTTCGGGACCAAGTTATTCTTGGACTACAACTCCTGGAAGACCACTAGCTACGCTGGCTAGGGCTTTGTCAAATTGTACTCTCAGAACATCTATGGCCCCAAATTTGGGAGTCATTGTACATAGCGTGCAAGAGGCAATCTTTGGATTCCAAGTACTTCAGTGAGGACTAACCCTGCCCCACTCTCTGGCACTGGAAGGATCTCCTTAATTCATCAGTGGAACAAATACCTTTATATCTCCTTCCCTGGTCAATGCAAGGACAGGGTCCCCTCTCCCCTACCAGTACACCTGCAAAGGCTCATTTAATCGCCACTGAAAATGGCATTTGAAGTAAGGCTTCAAAAAGCAGAGTGCTAAGAGTGGTGAGTTGGGCTAGGCTTACTGGATAGAAAGTGGTACAAGTGGAGCTAGTGTTCTACTGGCCACACAAGCATCTTGAAGAGAAAGACTTTTCTAACTCAGCCACTGTAAGTGTGTGGCCGATGATTTGCCATGGGTATAATTCAGTATTACATCCCAGTTTCAACCAGAGCAAAGGGCAAGGACTCAGAAATACTGATCTCACCCCATGCACAGTGCCTAGTTTGTTGGCAGAGCAGAAAGGAATCACCTGGCTTGCCTTTGGGCTATCAGCAGGTGCAATTTCCTGATGTGATTCAGAATAAAGCTGCAAAGAACCACCAACTGATGTATCATCACCAGGAGGAGTGCAGAATCACAGGGAGTAGGCAGTAATAGAAAGTCAAAAGGGTTTACAAGAGTTCCATTGCACCATACATAAGAGGCATCTGTGACATTAGACATGCCTTTTGTGAGTCTTGATTTTTAACGCCTTCTAAACCCAGCAAAGGCCTGAAGTGAGCTGTCCAGAAGAGTAAGCGCAGGGCAGTCTACTCCTAAGCACCTGGAGGATCAGCATGAGCACTGTAACAAATCTAGAACTGCCAGCCACATCTAGGAATATCAGCTCCTAGGCCATGACACGGTAGGTTTAGAGTGCCTATTCTGCTCACAAAAGACCTTGCCTGGAGGCTCCTTACTCTTCCAAGGCGGATACAACTGATGGCACATGCACATGGTCAGTAGGCACACATTGCTGGGAAATGGAAACTTGGAGGGACATGGCTGGGATGCATGGAACATGTGCAGTTCTCTTCCAAGTTGCCATCCTGCTCCACCCCACCAGATTAAGTCACACAAACACCACACTGAGGAGACCCACTGTGGGTTTCAACTCCTGCCACAAAAAGCTACAGTCCACATGGAAGCTGTGGGATGTGTACAACACAGAATCTGACTCTCAAGCTGTTGATGTGAGTTGTTTGCTTCCCAAGCTTCTGGAGACCCAGTGTACCCAACAACAAAAGCACAAAACTAAGGCAGACAGATACCCAGGAAAAAGTGTAACTCCTTGGCGGACACAAAGAAAGCTTCCCACCACACAGTGACATCCAGCCATGCTCCCAGAAGCAGGTGGAATTCGCATCTCCAAGGCGCATCTGAGTGCTGAGTAAGGGTTGCTCAGGTTTGCCAAATAGGGTGCATAGCTGAGTACTGGCCACAAGATAGAAAAGGCCAGCTTCTAGGCGAGCCTGAGCCAGTGTTACAATGTCAGATTACATCCCATCCAAGCATCACGAGTGGGAGTCCCTAGCAAGTTGAGGACTATGCTTGGACAAGCACACACCCTCTCTCCAAATGACAAAGTGAGCCATGGATAAAGGGTGTCCGAGATAAGGTCCAAGCTGGTTTCTAACTACCTCCTGTAGCCAGAAAGGTAGCTGGGAAGAGGCAGGAACCAACCGACCTGAGCAGCAAAACCCAGGCCTGGCCTGGCATCCCTTGGTGCTGTTGTGGGCCTGGCAGGACTTAGGCGAACATCCCTAACTTAAGGGAACTTGGCTGGGCTGGACTGGAGGTGGGTACAGGAGAGGGGTGAAATGAAAGCGCATTGCATACCACTCAGAGACAGGGAACAGCTCATCTTTATCACAGGGCAGCACAACACAGCACAAGGTGCACCCCGGCCTTCTGCTGGGCCACTTCACAGTCAATCCCTCGCTGGTCACTCTAACTGGAGGGCAGCGCTTGCACAAAGATGCCCTGTGAATCTGTCCGTGCCAGCTTCGAGGGTGGCTCCATGGGCTCGGCTGTTAAGCTGCTGGACTCATTGGAGCTGAGAGACAATTCCTGAGGCATTTCCTCATCACTTTCTTCTTCCTCCTCCTCCTCCTCATCTGATGCAAAAAGAAAGGTGGTTAGAACAAAGCAGCCCCATTGTAGGAACCTCAGTACTGTACTGAGTAAGTAGAAGCTGTGGTCTGCTTCCTTTCCCACTCTTCCTCAAGTCAATTTAATTCAACAACAGGCTCAAGGTTGATGCCAGGGGACCACAAAGAGCCAGAAGAAAAGGATGTGTTGGCCTCCAAGCTTGATGACTGCATCAGACTGAGGTATTTCTTAAGGACACATCCTGCATCATCCACCCTATTAGCCACAAGAGCTAAATGCAGCCCTCATACGTAGAGTACCACAGACTTGGGGACAAAAGTGAAAGGAGGCCCCTCTCTTTTCTGCTTGTGAGACTGCCAGAGGCATCCGGAAGGAAAGCTTTGTTGAGAAGAAAACTTAAGGTGATGGACTTTCTTTCTGGACCAGCGAAGTACAGTATATCACAAGAGTACACCCCCTCACATTAGTATATCTTTTCATGTGACAACACCGAAGAATGACACTTGACTACAAAGTAAAGCAGTGAGTATACAGCTTGAGTCAACAGTGTAAATGTGCTGTCCCCTCAAAATAATGCAACACACAGCCATTAGTGTCTAAACTCAGGTGTGAAGGGGGAGCAGGCGTTATTGCTCTCACTCTCTCAGACTGGTCATTGGAAGTTCCACATGGCACTTCATGGTAATGAACTATCTGAGGATCTGAAAAAATGAATTGTTCCTCTACATAAAGATGGCTTAGCCTATAAGAAGATTGCCAAAACCCTGAAACCGAGCTGCAGCACAGTGGCCAAGTCCATACAGTGGTTTAACAGGACAGGTTCTACTCAGAACAGGCCTCGCCATGGTCAACCAAAGACATTGAGTGCCTGTGCTCAGCGTCATATCCAGAGGTTGTCTTTGGGAAACAGACGTATGAGTGCTTCCAGCATTGCTGCAGAGGTTGAAGGAGTGGGGTGGGGGTCAGCCTGTCAGTGCTCAGACCATACACCGCACACTGCATCAAATTGGTCTCCAGGGCTGTCGTCTCAGAAGGAAGCCTCTTCTAAAGATGATGCACAAGAAAGCCTGCATACGGTTTGCTGCAAACAAGCAGACTAAGTACATGGATTTCTGGAAGCGTGTCCTGTGGTCTGATGAGACCAAGATAAACTTATTTGGTTCAGATGGTGTCAAGCGTGTGTGGTGGCAACCAGGTGAGGAGTACAAAGACAAGTGTGTCATGGGAGTGTCATGGTCTGGGGCTGCATGAGTGCTGCCGGCACTGGGGAGCTACAGTTCATTGAGGGAACTATGAATGGCAACATGTACTGTGACATACTGAAGCAGAGTATGATCCCCTCCATTCGGAGACATGATGATAACGCCAAACACACCTCCAAAACGACCACTGCCTTGCTAAAGAAGCTGAGGGTAAAGGTGATGGACTGGCCAAGCACGTCTCCAGACCTAAACCCTATTGAGCATCTGTGGGGCATCCTGAAACGGAAGGTGGAGGTGAGCAAGGTCTCTATCATCCACCAGCTCTGTGATGTCATCATGGAGGAATGGAAGAAGACTCTGGTGGCAACCTGTGAAGCTCTGGTGAACTCTATGCCCAAAGAGGGTTAAGGCAGTGCTGGAAAATAATGGTGGCCACACAAAATACTGACACTTTGTGCCCAGTTTGGACATTGTCACTTAGGGGTGTACTCACTTTTGTTGCTAGTGGTTTAGACATTAATGGCTGTGTGTTCTGTTATTATGAGGGGACAGCACATTTACACTGTTATACAAGCTGTATACTCACTGTGGTACATTGTAGCCAAGCGTCATTTCTTCAGTGTTGTCACATGAAAAAATATACTAAAATATTTATGAAATGTGAGGGGGTGTATTCACTTCTGTGATATACTGTAACTCTTAAATTAAGGTGCCTCCAGATTTTGACAAGGAGGGCTGTTTATACTGCACTGGATTTTTTTAAAAAAGCCATAGTCCTTATCTTAAAATTCTCTTGCCAGAGTTTGGATGTACCATACTAACAGTACTCCAAGAGAAACTCGCTGGGTGGTGGCAGGGAGGGGGCCTTTTCTGTTGTAACAAGAACTATTGCCAAGTTTCCCATAAACAAACCAAAACCTAAATGAAGGAGCACGTTACTTTTATTGAGTAACCCATTGTTGCTCAAAAATGTAACATTACCAAGGTCTATCAGCATTTGAGCAGAATAATACATACCATCTAGTATCTACAAAATATGTTTCACACATAATATTGTAACTGTAATAAATTAACTTAATGATTAATGACAATTTTGTATACAAATGTCTTAATAAAATCAATTAGAATAAAACAGAAATAGTAGTAGAAGTAGAAATATAGCTTCACACAAATAATTCGAATACTAGATGACAAGCTAACCCATTGATTTTTAAAAGTATAACATAATTTCATTTTCAGTATATGAGTGAAGAGCCTCAAGAAAGAAGCCTCAAATGCCTTTTCTGCATGAACACAGTGAGGAACAGAATCCCCTCACACATATCTAAGTGGGGTTTGTGTTTCTGTTAATAATCACATAGATCTAGCAGTTTGTCTACTGACGAAGTCCCAAGTAAGCACTGGTCTCCCAAGGAGCTGGACAGTACCTTTATCTGGGTCCAAGGGATTCAAGGAACTTGCCAGGTTTGCAAACTAAAACAAAGCAGAAATAAACGTAAGGGAAAATGTTCCTGATTTTCCGGATGCTGCAATGTAATCCTGTAGGTAGAGCGAAGGAGGACTTGCTGTTTTTCCCAGGCAACAGCTGAGATATCGGGACTGGGACAGGAACAGGAAAGGTTGCCTCCTCTCCAGAACATGACAATGCAAACCCCCTCCTGGCGGTGGTCGGGCAGCTACCCTTCTGGGAACTTTGCTAATCTATTGGCTGCTGCACTCACTGTGCAGGGAGATGGACAGCCATCGTCAGTGGGCTAGAAATTGGTCATGGCAGCTCAATTTACTATGTTGCGGACTTCTGAATGTATGTTTTGGGATGTCCAAACCAGAATGAATAATAACATTCTGGGACTTCCATAGAAACAGTCCCAGTAGTTTTCAGCTGAGCAGTACAACAATTGCAAATGGTCTCCAGTTTAATTCTTGCCATCTCCAATTATAAAAGGATCTTATGTTGGGCTGGAAAAGACCCTTGGTTAAAATTCATGTCAATTTCTACTATAGTAGACAATATCAATTAAATTTCCCAATAGCATAAAACATGTAGGTAGGGCAAAGCAGTTGAAGTCCCTTCCTGAGTCTGACATCCCAGTCAAGAATGTGCTAACCTAGATGGATTCAGGTCTTCAAGCAAGGACTCCCACAAATCTTCATCCCTGAGTCCAAAAACTACTAGACTTACCTCTCCCATGACAGCAATGGGCGTCTCGCCCTTGGCCTGGGCCACACGGTGTTCTATCAGGTAGTACATGTACTCATCATAGAGGAGACGGATGAGATGGAAGGAACCAAAACTAGCTGCACTCCGCAGAGTCAGATCCCGAATCACCATGGAGCTGGAGAGAGAAGAGTCTCAAAGCAGCAGTTCCCATCCAGGCAGACCCACAATGGTTGACTACCCCCATTTGACTGGCAAGGTGACCAAAGAGCAGCAAACAAGGCCAATATTTATGAAATGTGAGGGCCATGAACCTCAACTGGATGAGTGCCATGAACCAAGCCCAACACTGCTTCTCACCTGCCCCTTACCTGTAGAAGGACCACTTGAGGAGAAATAGTTTGGCTGCTTTGGGAAAGCTGGGGCTGCCCTGGTAGGGCTTTAGAACTTGGCTGACGACACCATCCAGCCACACTGCCCATTGCTCAAGGGAATTCTGTTGCTGCAAAGTCATCTTGAAGTCCTGCTCGAGGCGCTGCACCACACGATCCTCACACCGACACACCCACGAGGCCTGCTCCTGCGAGGCACCAAAGGAAGGGAGACGTGCATCTTCAGGGAAGCTGTTGCTTTTCCTTCCCTAGTCAAGCCAGGGACCCAACTGAAGTGTCTGAAAAGCGCTCTAGAAACAGATCTGGTGCAAAGAGAATCTGGTCCCTGGTGGAAGAACCAATGAGACCCTATGGACTGCCGTGAAGGCAACTTCTGTCCTCAACTGAGAAGACTTCAAGGAACTACAAAGTCCAGATTTCCCAAAGAATCTGCTGTTAGATAGAGAGATGAACCTTTCTTCAAGAATTTGAAGAAAGAGAGATAGAGACGGCAGTGGGAACCATCCAACGCAGGCACATTCTTAGATGGCTATTTCTAGTAGTGTATTGTTTACAGGCACCCAGCAGTTTCCCACACTTTGTAATTAACTCCTGGAATTTCATCAGTCTAGTGTTAAAATAATAATGACAATCTATGTATGGACTAATGAAGCAAGGATGTAACTCTTGGTGGAGGAGTTACATTTTGGGGGAGGGGAGCTTCTGTCAAGAATGAATGTTATGTATAAATATAACATCTAGTTCAAATATTAAGATATTTGTTTCCACATCCTCCGAGAACTGGGCTCCATGGCACCGATTAGCTGCTGTACTTAAATTGGTGTTAATGTTCAATGGTAAGTGTATTTCTGAGGATCAGATTTTGGGGACAAAACAGGGGAGAGCTTTTATGTTTGTTCCCGGATTGTAAACCACTCAAGGGCTTGTAGTGATGTGAAATCAAGTGCTATTGGCAGGCCAAGAAGCAAGCAAAGCAGAACTTATGTCTGCACCTGGTACAACTTAACCACTCACCACCTTTCCTCCATAGTGGGGGATAGTTTTCATGGGAGCAGCTGGTCAAGTAAGAAGGGAAGTCTGGACTCAAAAAGGGAGAGGAGGTAAGGCAGGCTGAGAGTGCAGCTGAGCCTCGGTCACTTGAGACTGGACAGAAGTCTGTTGGGTTATTACCTGGACATTTGCAAAATCCACCCGGTTGAGGTCACTTAGCATCTGATTAATCTGAGCTGTGTTCTGCAAGACAGCCCGAGCAGCCTGGGCAAGATGGTTCAGGGAGGTGTAACGCCGCAGGGTCTGAGCAAAGGCACTTGCTGCTGCCACCTGAGGGACAAAAGGCAGATGGCACAACTCATTCATTCCCTTGGACTCGTGTGTGTGTGTGTGTGTGGTCACAGGCACCAGGAGACTTTACAGAAAGTGGAAATGGGGTGTTGGGCAGGGGGGTGGGGAAATAGGTAAAGGTAGGACAAGTGGCTGATTGTAGCATCAACTCAGAAAACTTGAGCCAGAGTGACTTCAGGTCTGTTGATCCACTCCTAAAGGAGGTCCAGACAGGGCCACTTTTAGAACTGCCTCCTACTGTCAGGAAAGGGGAAGTCTAAGATGAAAAAACATAACCTGTTCTTCCTCCTCCCAACAGTTTCCAATCCTTTTCCTTACCTTTACACGGACCATCTCTTCTGGAATATTCATCATGGCATTTGTCAGCCAGCTCTCCAAACTTTTTGCAAAATTTCGGATCGCTTGCGTCAAGGCACCTGGAGCACAAGGGAAGGGCAGCAGTCATTCTGCTCTAGAACTGACCGTTGAGGGGGTGGTAGTCTCCTCTCCTCATTGAAAGTGGGGTGAGGGCAAACCCAACAGCAACCCCTCTCCCTGGGAATGGCTTCAGTGCCTACACCAAAGGTCAGGGGATCTTTCCATGCAAACCCCAGACCCGCATGATGACAACCGGCCACGGCCCCTAAGGCAGAAGGGCCAGGCAAAGCCCCCAGCAACAGCTGGAATATCCTGCTCTTTGCATCAGGATGGACTGCTGCCCAAAGTCTGTCTTACCCACTACTGAACTATGAGGGGTGGGCTTACTCGGAATGGGCCGGAGCACTTCTGGGATCAGGACCTCCACCAGCCCCTGGTACAACAAGTTGTCACAGTCCTTTGTCCACTTGAGGACAGGCTCATACTTGGACAGCACCACCAAGCAGCTCTTCGGAAGACGCTTCTCAGCTTCATCATGGCTGAATATAAAACATACACAAGCTATTACAGGTCACTGAGACAAAACCAGACTCTTCACTCCAGCAGCCTTTCCACACCTAGCAGTCAATGGATTTTGTTCAGAGTGAGGATTAAATATCTTCACAGGGAAGGGGGAAGGTATCCCAAACTTGAAAGATTTTTTTTTTTTAAATAAAAGAGCTCATTGCTGTACTCATTATTTTGGTGTAGTGGATTTTTACTGTGCTCTGCCCATGTGAAGAAATGCAGAGATAAACCCTCTCCCTCTTGGTTCTGCCATACTGAGCTGATGAGAGGTACTAGCTGGGACAGAGGTATAAATTCATTCTCATGAGAAGAGAACTGTTTTACCAGAGAGTGAACCAGAGCCAAGGCCAAGTGAGATTGCCCAATTGCACATATTCTAGAGCAGTGGCTTCCATCCTTGGGTCCCAATAGGTTATTGAACTATAACTCCCAGAAATCCTGCCCAGAACAGCAAGTGGTGAAGGCTTCTGGGAGTTTCAGTCCAAGAACATCTGGGGACCCAAGTATTTGGTTTAAGGTTTAACTTGTATATAATGCACACCTAATCAAATGATCAGTTGTTCTTTTTAGTTGAAAGTTACATTTGTTCTCTTTGTTCCTGGTTCCTATTACTAAAATGTTAATAACAATATTTAAAAACAGAACTCTTCTGCCCAGAGGTTACTGCCTCGCAGCCGTACTTACATAACAATAGGGGTAGCTTCACTGGGCTGGTTCATATTGTACCGCCAAAACGTCTTCCAGAGTGTTTCCACTAGTGTGAACTGCAAGTTGACCATCACATCAACAATGGCCTGTGGAGAAGTAGTAGTAGCAGTAGTAGTAGAATGAAACAATTGCAAGTCTGCCAGATAAAATGAGGCATACCTAGGAATCCTCTGACTAAATCAATCAGTTCTATCAACTAGATTTTGGCTTGTTTATAACAAATCAATCCACTGTCTGGCACATTTCTGTTACTCAGAGGGTTTCATTTCTGAACTGAAGGTCATGATACCCAAGCAGATGATGTGAATCAATAGAGGAGAGTGAGGCTGCTCAATAGAATTCACAGGCAGATTCAGCGTAAGTTCTTTTAGCCTCAAGCCAAAACTTTAGTCAACTCCAGTTACTGTAGCTGGTTTACGGAAAGAGAATACCTGCCTCAAGGAGCCGAGTGTGCCTGGAACCAATGATATTGATGGGTTTGCTATCCTCTATGGATTGAAGGTCACTAATTTCAATTATTTGCACACATGCTCTATTCTCAGCACTGGTGTTGAGATGTTTTTAAACTCAAAACCGATTTCCACCAGCATTGTGTGTACATGTATGTTTTTGTTGAGAGTATGACAGTACCATATTTTTCCATGTATAATATGCCCCCATGTATAAGCCCCCCTTTTTCTAACAATTTTTCCATGTATAATATGCCCCCATGTAACAAAAAATTAAGAAATCTAAGAAGGGCTTAGAAAGGGGAAAGCAGGGATCAAAGCAATCCTCCAGCTTAGCAAGTGGAGGGGGAAAGGGATCAAAGCACTGCAGGATCCTGACTGTAGGTAGCTAAGCCTCATTACTGAAGGAAGCCTGTTTGCAGAGGCAAGATATGGGCCATTTTGTTCTCTTCTCAGTGTACTTCTGTGTATAAAATGACCCTCAATTTTTGGTCTAAAGATTTTAGACAAAAGTATAGTGCTATACATGGAAAAATATGGTGTATATATGGGCTTTAGTCTGTGAAAGCTTCTATTGAAACATAAGAATAGGAGAAAGATGGGGGAATATACTTTAAATAAACAAAATTTTAAAAATAAAGAAATATGAAAGAAATACAAGACAGTATAAAGATGTAGAAGACTCCCAGTGTAGTGTAGTGGATGGAGTGATGGACTAGAATTCTGGAGGACAAGGTTCAAACCCCATCTCAGCCATGGAAATTCACTAGAAGGGTGGAACTGGTTAAACTACTCTTTAAATATCTCACTTACCTTGAGAGCCCTATCAGGGTCACGATAAGTCAGTTTCAACTTGACAGCACAGAACACACACACACACTGCACACACACCGCACGCACGCAGGCACACACATGTAAGGATCTTTAAAAAAACATAAATGTATATATGTGTAGTATATCCAAATCCTCATCTAGCTTCTTGCAATCAGATGTCAACATAACCCACCATGTCAAATGGATGAATTAATAATCCTATCCTCAGTAAGCTTTTAGGCACCCAGCTGACTTGTGAAAATTCTTGCAAGGTTGCAAATCCCTTTCACACTGCATTCACACAATCAGCTCAGGCAAAAAAAAAAAAAAAAAAGAGCCTGATCATCTCCAAAACCAGTTTTGAGAAGAGGAAGCTGTAATGATAGCTGCTGCAAAGCTTCTCAGACATTCAAGCAATCAGTGGCAAAGGCAAAGGCAAAGGCGTTTAGAGCACTGGAGCAGTGTGTGCTATAGCAGTGAAATTGTCTTGAAAAAAATTGCAACTGAAGGGGATGTTTCAGATAAAATGAAACAAGAGAAGGCATTCAGGGAGGAGTGTTCAAAAAGGTCGAGTCAGACTGATTCTGTTTTCACTGATGGCGCTTGACCTAGAAGCAGCCAGAGCAGCACATGGCCTAGAAGCATGTGTGTACAGTGTGGCACAGAATGGTGCATTCGATGCCAGCCTGCCTGGGATGCATGCGAAGCTGCTACTGCTTTCCAGCTGTCTTCTGTTAACAGTAATCCATCTCATGCAACTCTCAAGAGCCTTGATTCCCCCTTTTTATATGATCCACACACATACCTCACAATGCTCTCGATAGAGCAACTGGAAAGCCTTTACATCTTCAGGCCCAATGCCCTCAGGGAGGGTCTTCCCTTGTAGGTCTAACTCTGCAAAGTCAGGCAGACTGCGAGAGGGATCTGCAAAGGGTAAAAAGTCAGATTGCCAAGAACAGCGCTCAGCCACAGCAAAGAGTTCTCCTTTGCCATTCTTCATCCTGGGGGTCTTACGGGAATGGAAAACTGTGGCCCTACGCCCCACACTATCACAGGAAATCAATCTAATAAACAGGGAACTCCAAGCAGTGAAGTCGTGTAGACCTCATTTCAGAAGAAATGCAGGAAATGTGTTCCAAAAACACCTTCTTGTGGAGAAACGGGTTGGTGAGTGACATAAAAAAAGGTCTGTACCATTTGGAAAGGACCCTGCATAGAGCGATCCAACCATGCTGACGGACTCCTGCCAGCTGATTCTGAAGTTCTCCATATAATTGGGCTCATGCTTGACAGCCCTAAAGCAATGCCCCATCACACAGAAGCTTATCAGGTATGTCAGTCAAGCACCCTATAGCACACATACAGTCTCATAGTCCCCATCAAATCCCCTCTCCATTTTTTGCAACCAGGGATCAAAGAGTAGACACTATCAAACTGCATATAGAGGCTGGTACTTCATTCTTCTCAGTTTTCACCTCAGAGAGCTTGTGGTCTAAAGTCTCCAGCATATAACAGAGAGGGGACAAGCATCTTACCCAGGAACTGTTGGTACTGTTGCACTTGGGCACTGATGTCGGACAGCCCAGAAGCCTGCTGCTGCCCCACAGCCACTCCATTGGTCATGCCTTCCATCTTCTGAATGGGTTTCAGCCTAAAAGGCAAAGCAAACCATGGTCAGGATGTGTTGGAACAGAAGCCACTAGATAAGGGAAGAGAAAGAGGGCTGGGTTCTGTTACAAGGGGAAAAAGACTGCTTGGGGAATTTGCACCACTCTGAGGCACATGATGAGGAAACCATGTTGTCTAGAAAGAAATGATAGGTTGCTTACTTGTAACTGTAATTCTTTGAGCAGTCATCTGTGAATTCACACCAAGGGGTTACTTCCGAGCCTGCACTGACATCTTCAAATCCATTCATTCATACCCTTTCCACTGTGCCTGCTCCCCAACTTAACGCTAATCTTCAGTTTCCCTGATTTTATCAGTCTGCTGCTGATAAAAGCACCTGTGAGGCAGACCGAGAGAATGGGTGGGTGGGTTGTGCGAATCCACAGATGACCACTCAAAGAACTACAGAAAGCAACCTGCATTTCTTCTTTGTGGTCTCTGTGATTCCAATGGGTGACTGCCAAGCCCACTTAGCAGCTGGTGGGATGTCATACCAATATACAGAAGATGGCTGCTTTGCCCAACGAAGCATCAAGTTTCACCCTATTCAATCTGTAATGTTTAATGAACATCAATGGCTGGGACCATGTTGCTGCTCTGCAGATATTTGTCATTTGACTTCCTTTCAGGAAACCTGAAGATGCAGCAACTGCTCTAATTGAATGGCCTTTCAAGGACAGAGGTAGTGGCCTTTTCAATAGCTGGTAGGATAGGGAAATCGTGTTCACCATCCATTTAGATAAGCATTAAGACATAACAGGTTCACCTTTCTTCAGCCCCTGATAACTGATAAACACTTTGAAAGATTGACGGAATTGCTTGGTTCTTGAACTGCAGAAAGCCAACACTCTATGAACATCCAGTGTGTGTAGCAATTTCTCTAGATCAGAAACTAGTGAGGGGAAAAAGTTGGCAGCACCAAAGATTGGTTGAGATGGAAGTCAGAAACAACTTTTCAGAGGAAAGATATATTAGGGGAAAGTGTAACCCTCAACCCTGAGTGCTCACTGGAAGGACAGATCCTGAAGCTGAGGCTCCAGTACTTTGGCCATCTAATGAGAAGAAAAGACTCCCTGGAAAAGACCCTGATGTTGGGAAAGTGTGATGGCAAGAGGAGAAGGGGACGACCGAGGATGAAATGGCTGGACAGTGTCTGCGAAGCAACCAACATGAATTTGACACAACTCTGGGAGGCAGTAGAAGACAGGAGGGCCTGGCGTGCTCTGGTCCATGGGGTCACGAAGAGTCGGGACACGACTAAACGACTAAACGAAAACGTAACCTTTATGGAACTGTGGTCCTTATGGAATTGCAGGAAAGGTGAGTCATGTCTGAAGGCAAAAATGAAGTGTGCTGCTTACATACCGCCCCACAGTATTTCACTCTCTGGGCTCAGAAACTAGTGAAGGGAAAAAGTTGGCAGCACCAAAGATTGGTTGAGATGGAAGTCAGAAACAACTTTTCAGAGGAAAGATATATTAGGGGAAAGTGTAACCCTTATGGAACTGTGGTCCTTATGGAATTGCAGGAAAGGTGAGTCATGTCTGAAGGCAAAAATGAAGCGTGCTGCTTATATACCGCCCAATGGTGTTTCAAGCCACTCTCTGGGCAGTTTACAAGTGTATTATGCAAGCTACACATTGCCTCACCAGCCAGCTGGGTACTCATTTTACCGACCTTGGAAGGATAGAAGACTGAGTCAACCTTGAGCCGGCTACCTGGGATTGATTGTGAGCACAGTTTTGGCTGCAGTACAGCAGCTTAACCAGTGCACCATGAGGCTCTTCACATAGTTCATATGCCCTCCTCGCTGATGTTACCATCACCAAGAAAACTGTCTTATACGCCTGAGATGTGTTGTTACCAGTGGCTCAAATGGTGGTTAAGCACTAATGTTAGTGACCACTGCAGCAGTGGAGGCTTGACTTCAGGGTAGACATTTTCCAAACCTTTCAGAAACATTTTAAGAACTGGATTTGTAAAGAACTGTGATGCAGGCAATCCTGGAGGTTGTTGCGCCACTATGGCTGACAAATTAATTTTTACTGACAAATGCAACAAGCTCATTTGCTTTAGTTGCAGCAAGAAATTGTAACGGAAATCAACCCTGAGTGCTCAGTGGAAGGACAGATCCTGAAGCTGAGGCTCCAATACTTTGGCCATCTCATGAGAAGAGAAGACTCCTTGGAAAAGCCCTTGATATTGGGAAAGTGTGAAGGTAGTACTGTATTAGCTTTGTTCCTTTCTGTTGGTACATCAAAGGACACCAGATACCAGGTTTGAAGAGACCACATATTTAAGTGGGCATGTTGGAATACCACTATTGGTAAGGCCATCAGATCCAGCAGTCTTCGAGCCATGTACACCATCACAGACACATTGGCTTTGAGTTTTATTGCAGATTCAAAAATCTTGCCTATTCTGACATGAAGTAAATATACTCCTGCAGACCTTGAATCTTGAATTATCCCAAAGTATTGAATGACTGTTTGATTTTAAATGTGACTTTTCCAGATTTATCTAGAGACCGATATTTTATAGCAGTTGTAGTGTGAATGAAACATATCTCTGAATCTTGCCTTTTGTACTTGCCACAGTTAACTATATGGAAAACAATCACAATGGATTCTGAGATATGCTGCAACTTTGGCCATACACTGTGTGAAGACTCAGGGTGCTACAGACAGACCAAAAGGGAAAGCTTTGAACATGAATATTTTGTTGCCTATGGCAAAGCACAGCAAGTGTTGATATTCCAAGAAGATGGGTAATACTGTATGAAAATAAGCATCCTTTAGGTCTCAGTGCAGCAAACCAATCCACTTTCTTGAGGAGTGGTAATATCACTGCAAGTGTCACCATTCTGAACCTCTTGGTCTCTATGTAAGACTTTACATCTCTCAAGACCAAAAATGGTCTCAAACCTCCACCTTACTTGAGGACAGTTATATACTGGGAGTAAAACCCATTCCCCAATAACTCCAGGGGTAACCCCCCATCTTTCTTCCTCTAAGCCTTGAGGTGGTGTTGTGGATCTAAAATGAATAAGCCATGGACACAGCCTGTGTGCTTCTCTGCACTTTGTGGTGATCAAAGTAGGATGGTGGATAGTGCCATTCTGGACTTGGACAGAACAGTTGCATGGCACCAAAATAATAACATAGATACTCAATTTTAGTATGGGATGAGAGTGGTGGCAAGAATGAGATCCCTTTCTTTTCACTGTTGAGGCCAAGTCCAGGGATGAACAATGGTGTCACCCTTGGAATGAAGATGAGTCATAATGTTGATAGTCTTTAGGACTCTCTTGAAGTGGTGACAGTTTACTTAAGAGTCTGATGTGTTATTTGGCTCTATCCTGAAGAGTGACTGAAGACAGGAGAGTCTGCATGTTCCTGGGATATTTTTTCCTCAGACACTGACCCCAAACAAACCAGGTCTTCAAGTTCCTTATATTGTAGAGAGTGTCATGGCAGTAAAACTGATGGTCCTTATTCTTCTGATTAGTCTTTGCTTTATTTGCTTGGCTATTCATAGAATTGGTGACCTTCTTTCTACTTCTGGTTGCTGAAACTAAGGTCAATTTTGAGGGAGACAACCTACCCTTAATATCAGCAGTTAGTTGTGGAGGTTCCGTTTCTTGTGTGGTCAGATCATCTAAGGTCGAAGTTCGTGTTGTTTCCAAATGAATGACTTCCATCAAGTTTGGATAATGTTTTGCAGAAACTGTTGAAACTGATGTTATCATTTAAGTATATATAGAAGAAACTACAATGAAAAAAGGTTCCAGATGTTCTGAAGGTATTTTCACAGTGGTGGCTGAAAGGGAACTGAGGATTAGCTTAGGCTCTGGAATTTTTCAACAATGTCCATGCAGGTATGGAAGGAACCCATTGGTGTGAGTTACAGAGACCATGAAGAAGAACCACAGGGGACTACATTGGGGACTCAAAAGTAGAAGAACACTTAGGACTGCACAGAGGAACTTAAGAAACTGCCTTCTAAAGAGTCAGACCAGAGCAAGTTGCTTGCCACTGCACTATGGACTCTTCCCACCATGGTCTCTTACCTTTGCTTCTGGGAAAAGGGCTGTTGCCTCATGGCAAGGTGCTGTTGATCTTCCATGAGCCGCAGCAATGGGGAATTGGCTTTGATACGCAGCCCATAGTAGTGGTATTTGGAATTCCCTCTGGGGAGGAAGACAGAAGCAAGAAAACATAAGCCAGCTTATAAATGCTCTGGTTCCTAACAAAGCACAAACCCTTCGTCACTGGAATACTACTACCATATAAGCGAAGCTATCAAATATTACAACAGTCCAACTGCGACTATGTGTGGGCAACCAGACCAGTTCCTGCCTCTGAAAGCTGTTACACCTTAAATATGTATCCCTTTTACCTGGGTTTCTAAATACAGAAGTACAAGTATTTACATCACTTTTATCTCTCTCTTTTTAATAGTTATTTTTTTTAAAAAAAAAAAGATAGCAGCACAAATCTATCAGTATCAAAAATCCATTCCAATAGCCATAAAGAAAGCTCCAAGACAAAACTAGGTGAAAATGCTTTATGTAGCTTTGAAAATAATGCAAAGGTGTTTTTTTAGCTTGTCAGTATATGCTCTCCTACTTTCTGTCTGATATTTGCTGATGACATTCAACTTTATTTCTCCTTTTCATTTAAATCCAGGGACACTGTTCTAGTTCTGAACTAGCATCGGACATCCATAATAGACGGGACCAAGGTTGAGAAATCAAAGCTAAATATACAGTGATCCTGGTCAGCAAAAACAGAAAACAGAGAATGGAAATTGAAACCCAGGTCCATACCATGGCGAGGAGTATGCTTTGCAAAAGTTAAAGCCAGTGTTCCAGATGCACACATTCCTGAGATGTCTGATCTGGCCACGATTATCTCTAACCCAGTTACATCCTTTTCTGGATTACTGTTAAAATACCTGCTTTAGGGGCTGTTGTAGAACAGTGTTTGGAATCTTTAGCTAGTTCAAAATGCTGCAGCCAGATTACTGACTGGAGCCAGTTATTTGAAGTGCATTATGTCTTTATTACAAAAGTTGCACTGGCTACAGGTCTGTTTGGGGCAGAAAAGCGCTGTGTATGATTTATCAAACCTGACTATTTCTTTAGATCAGCTGCTTGCTGAGAAAGAACCTTTTAAGAAATAAGAGCTATAATTTTTTAAAAAATATATTTTTAAATTGCTTTTTAGCAACAGTTTTTCAATACAGTAATTTGAATTTTCTGTGTTTTTGTTTGCACCTGTTTTTAATCTTGTCACCCTTGTTTAGCCCCCATTTTGAAAAATGCATGGGATTTAAATCGCATGAACAACTGAATATACATTTTATGTAACACAGCCTTATTTATTTGGGGACTGATTACTCAAATTGGGTTAGTTATCAGTTTATCTTTTTATGAAACTGGTGTTTTGTGGGTGGTCATCCTCCCCACAGCCATTTTATGACAGCCCATTGACACTTCTAAATTCTTCTAAAGGAAAACTCACATTTGTTCAAAAATATGTTACAAGAGAGGTTACCTGGATGAAAATATAGAATGTTCACAGAAATCTGACCACTATAAAATTTTGCTGGTGTAGTTCAAATCAGATTGGTGGAAAGCCAGAAATCAGGCATGTGCACTTGTGGACAAGCTCCCTTTAAGGAAATATACTACACTGATGGGAAAGCCTTCTCCATTTACCTGGTTCCCAGCCGGCGAGTACGGAGACCCATGAACACTGAGCGGATCAGCTTGCCAAAAGATGCTGCATTGACCGGCTCCAGTTTCTGCTCCTGGCAATGCAGGAGGTAATGGCAGTACAAAGTACTACGTGGAAGGCTCACGCCCTCTGCCGTCTCATAGTTATCCAACAGCCACTGGACCTGCAAAGAAACAGGTACTTCAAGTTACAAGCCTTTCCAGCTTCTGCCCTTTGCCTCCCCTGCGCCATCCGTGGCCCTTAATTTATGCCAGAGGCAAAAGTCTAAGACATCTATAGTCTTGTTTCCTTTTCATCAAGGACCCTATTTATCCTTCCAGGTCTTAACTAATTACTGCAGTCTAGTCTCTGTTCTTTTTAACCAGATTGCATTTCCAAAAGCTCACTGCCACCACAACACTTGAATAACATGTGTTGTGGGATCAGTCAGCAAAATCTTAGGAAGTGGAGATGAGAAGAGAGAAGGCATTATGAAGAAAGTCAGGCAGGCAGAAGAGCAAACAGACACATTTCACAACCGTTCGGCTGAATCTGCCTTGAATTTCCCATCCAGGCAAGTCTGTTATTGTTAGCCACTCTTAGAGAGGAAGAACGAAAAAATAAGGGCTTGAAGATCCCATGGCCTTACCATTACTTAACAGGAGACGCAGATCTATTTGGAAGTATTCTTGTATGGGTCTACATTACTACAAGGAACAAAACAATACTGTATGTCTATCTATGTTGCAACTGTGGTGCTCCACTGTGGGATCTGATATTTGGTCACCTTTAATGGCATCTGAAACCCAGCAGTTTGCACCAGGATAAAGCTCCCTCTGGTGACAACTTCATTGAACCAGCCTCTGCTAGTGCAAGGAATCTAGCAGGTATCCTGGAGCACAGTCATGAAAATTCCTGTCCTCATAGGGCTGAGTCCACCAGCCCCAAGTGGACAGCAGCCAGGGTCTCCCATCCTCCGCCACAGAGAGACTTAAGCACTTACAGTTGCTGGGGAGGCCCGGGTGGTGTGTGAATACGACTGGCTTGAACTTCCCAACATGTAACCTCCTTGAATCACGTAGGTCCCTGTGCCGCCACTTCCACCACTGCCTCCACTGCCAGCTGTGCTGCCGCCACCACTACTTCCACTGCTGCTGCCTCCAGCACTGCTGCCTCCATTTGGGTTGGCTATGATCTGCCCTCCAGAGACATACATGGGCACCGAGCCACTGCTGGCCACTGTCTGAGAGGTTGCTGGGGTGGAGACTTGAGTCGAGGTGCCTTGAGACTCATAGTAGTTTGCCCCCGCGTTCTGGGTGTAGAGAGGGGTCTCCGTGTACGGGTAAGTGTTGGAGCGTCTGGAAAGAAGAAATTCAGTCAGGTACAGGTGCTTTTCCAAAAGCAAAAACTAGAGATTGCTATGGGTAAAGGGGAGGAAAGTGTATAGATGCAGCACTCAAAAACAGGCAAAGCAGAATACATTCTAGATCCACCCCACAAAAAATTTCAACAGGTTAATTTTTTTCCCTCCTGCCTGCTTGGATGAGGAATGGCCTAGGAGAGGTCCTCGGCCCCGATATGTTGTCAAAGCCAATGTAATTTATCTTCTGGTGATGCCCCCTAATTTTCAGTGATGTCTGTCTCCCCCAGTGGTTTTGAGATTCTCTCTTGGGGGAAGGAAAAAATGGGAATCCTCTCCCATCTACTTCCCTTGTCCTGAAGGAGCCATCAGAAATATTATCTCTGATTTTCTATTACATGTACCACAGACAGAGAGATTTAGTTTCTTCTTTGGTCAGTACCAGGTTCAGCAACAAGAAAGTGGCAGGCTTTTCACCAAGTTGCTTGGCAATTCAGAGTATGGGAAATCTAATTCTCCATGTGACTGGCTAGATCTGATGCTTCCCATGATCACTTACTGTATATATTTTTGCCTCTTACATTGTAACTGAAATCTTCTGTTTACCTTTCTGTCACTGCTATTCTGTGACTCTTGAAAATTTCCAGTGATAGCATTCATTTTTTAACAGACTGCTCCTTGGAACTGAATATATCCATAAAGTAATGCTACATTGTTTTTTTCCTCTGCCTTTTAATACCCAGTGTATGTAACCATGATGTTAGAAGCTGGTTCCTCTCTGTGTTTGGCAATGAAACATTTCCTATGCTTTTTGTAAATAAATCTCTACTTATTCCATTTTATTACTGCATTCATATTTTTCCCTACAGTTTATATTAAAGAATATTTTTGATGAGGTTTTGAGGAAAGGTTGTCCAGATCTTTTTTACATAATTTTTCAGGACTGTGCTCTAATTAAGTTAATGTGCCACAATAAATCAGCTGATTAACATTCAAGGTCTCAGAAATGTTTTTGCTCTTAATGTGTAATGCGCAATTACCCTCTAATAAGTAAGCTCACATTAAATGTTTAAATGTAAAAAATTCATTTCTCTTTGCTTAAGAAACCCGTCCGAAAGTGGGATTTTATTGTCACAGACCACGCAATGTTTAAATGAGCCCAAGGGGGCCATGAAAATAGGAATAAAGTAAGAAAAAATGGGGGGGTCCCCTTCGGTCCTAAGGCCGGAACGAAAAAAGGAAATACATATTTTTAAAAAGTTTAAAGAAAAAGAAAAGGAATTGAGATTGAACTCTCTTTCGCTTTTAAACTCACAGAAGAAGCTCGAGGCTCTCAACACAATGGTTGAAAGAAACTGAATAACTCTCTTTCGCTTTTAAACTCACAGAAGCAAGAAGCTCGAGGCTCTCAACGCAATGGTTGAAAGAAACTGAAAGGAGAGCCCTGGTGCCAAGGTACATATACGGAGGGGGAGGGGTCTACACTAATGTGTTTTTTGCTACCGCAGAAGCTCTAGAATCTTCCGACGAAGCTCCACACAGGAAGCTCTAGAATCTTCCAACGAAGCTCCACACAGGTGCAGATTATCCAGGGTGTGATTCAGAGGCCACGAAGAACACCTGGGGGTGTGATTCACAGAGGCCACGAAGAACACCTGAGTCACCCAAAGGTTGGGAACCACTGTCTCGAGGATGCTCTGGCTTACACCCCGCCTGGACTAAATTTGTACTTTTATGAAAAACTATACTACTCAAATAAGAAGTTCTTTCAGCTGCAGTCCCAGCAGCCAGAACCTGATAGCTACTAGCTCACTGAGGACTCAAAATGTAGGGCAGTGGCGGCAGCAGTACACTATAGCTACTAGCTCACTGAGGACTCAAAATGTGGCGGCAGCAGTACGCTACGCCTTCCTCATTTCAAGATGTGTACTACTCACATGGTACTGGCTGTGTAGCTGGCGTCTCCTCCTTCCACGTATTGTACCTGGTTAGGATAGACATGCTGCACGGGCACCTGCTGGAGCTGCTGCACCTAAGGAGGCACACACCACAGGCAAGGAGAGGAAAGGCAAACTGAGGTGAGGAAGGACAGGGTACGTTTACTGACTCCCACTCCACTCCCCCACCCCTCAGCTCTAGCAGGCATCCCTAAAGTGCGATGGGTAAGGCTTTGGCTGCCACTACTTTTGGGCTCCAGTCAGCCCAGCCACCAGGAAATAACAGTCAGGACTGAGGAGACCACCCTGGACAGTTCTCAGGTTCTCCAATCCGGCTATAAAGAAAAGGCCACCTTTCTACCCAAAAATACTATACCGCTAATGTAAATCTAGTTCCTGGCTCCCTGCACCTGCCTCTCAATTTCTATTTACCATTATCGCGCACACTGAGTTACATGGATGTCATGATAGCAAGAAAAGCTGCAACAACTCACAAAAGCAGTAGAATTATTTTTGATGCAGACTAGAAATTCCTCCAACGCATACAGAGGAAGGAACGTCTGCTGGTTAGGGCTAGTTTATCCAGCTTTCTATCTAGAAAGTGAGGACACTGCATTGCACACAGTCCCAGCACTTCCTTAGGGTGTTTTTGATGCATTACATTTTTAGGAGAACACCTGGGATGTTTTTAAGTGAGCAAGAGTCATGACAAACAGCTGCATCTGTTCTCCTTGAGATTAAAAAATCCTGGCCTTCGAGGGCTCTAAAATCCTGAAAAGCACTTTTGTGGATAGCGGCTGTCTCTACAGGCATTGAGACAAAAACATCCGACACACTGTCAAGCAATCAGCATTGCAGTATCTAGCTTAATTAGACTTTGTCTTCCACACCAGCCCATGAGCTGGGACATGGGCTTTTTGCTAGCTGCTCCAAACCTCTGAGCTAACTCCCCGAGTGTTGAACCCTCTCCCCGCCTCCCCAATGTCATATGCACATGTAAGCAGAGTATATCCCAGTTCCTCAAGACTTCCATATTTAAGCTTCACTGGAGTAAATGAAAGCAAAATCAAATTCTGTACTGAAGAGGTCCAAGAATTTCAACTCTTTTGGCAGGCCGTAGGGAAGGAAATGAGGCCGTTCGGCCATCACTGATTAAGAAAAGCATTAATTTCAGGGGGAGACAGGAAAGGGAGCATAGGGGTGAGGTCCGGGATGATGCTGGCTAGCTCTGTTGTCTGCCTTGATGAAAAGGGAAGCGCGCAGAGCTTGCTATTCTTGGAACTCAGTGGGTGCCTTGTGCCGGACCTACTTTAAGTGCTGTCGCTGCTGTTCCAAACACTAGCACCTGAGGGACTCTCTGAATCTTGACTCTCTGGTCAGGGCTGGAGTGGTGAGAAGAGAGGAAGGGTAGCTGCTCTATCACCACCTTCTGTTGTGGCAGGAGGAGCGGCTGAGGAAGCATGCGGACCAGTTCCACCCACTGCTCCGAGGCGGAATCTAGGGAATGCATGTAGTGAAGCCTGTGCTCTGGGCTGGATAGACAGCAGCCAGCCAGCTGGGGTGCACTGCTGCTGCTGCCGCTGCCGCCGCTGCCATTGCTGCTGCTGCTGCTGCTGCACTCTAGAGAGAAACCTTGCTGAACTCCTTGTTGCTCCTCCTGCTGCTGATGCTGCTGCGACTGCTGACTGCTCTTAGAAGGGCCACTGCCTGCACTCTAGACAATAAACAGAAAGACTGACGCAATCGGAAGCCAAGCAATGCCCTCTCAGCAACACCATGCCTGGGAAGAGTGGGTCCCATGCTCTCGTTCTTCTGGCTTTTATTCAGTGACTCTAAGGAATGCTACAACGGTAGCTCAAGAGAGACCTTACAAAACCAGAAACTGACAGGGGCCGAGAACCCTTCCCAATTTAACTTGTCTGATAACTAGCAGTCACATGAAAACAGAGTGGACACGATCTATAAGGGAAGGAGAATTCTGGGTGGCTCATCACGTCCAAAAGATAATGGGGCAGGAATCAAGCGCACCTGGAAAGCCTGTCCTGGACTGGGAAGACTGTTGGGTGTTGTTCAGTGCCATCAAGGCAGAACTGACTTACAGCGACCCTAATAGACATTTCAAGGTAGGCGAGATATTTAAGGAGTGATTTTACCAGTTCCACTCCTTCAGACAGTTTCCATGGTTGAGCAGGGATTCGGACCCAGGCCTCCTAGTCTGTCACTCTGTCCACTACATCACACTGGGAAGGCTACAACCAGTGAAAACTCTGGAGTATTTCTGCAGGGGAAGAATTTCTGATAGAAATGGATGTATGACTTGAAGAAAGGGGTTGGAAACCCAAGGCCGTCCAGACGTTCCTAAACCTTCCTTGTGCTCGGCCAGCATGACCAATTGTCAGGAATGAGGGCAGGTGTAGATCAGCAAAATCTGGAGAGTATAAGTTCTCCCTCTTGCCTATGCTGCTTCAATGGTTCTGATGCAGGCTAGCTATCTTGGGGGGAACAATGGGCCCAGCTCTGTTTCTCCACAACTGGCCCTTAGCAGTGCCCCTTACAGGACAGCCAGAAAGCAATACATAGGGACACTTACCTCTTGAGTAACATGCACCTGTTGGAGCCCTTGCACTGCCAGCTGTTGCACTGTGCCCGCTTTGGGAGCGGAGGGAGTCGTCTGCACAACAGATCTCTGCAGTGTGAAACAAACCAGAACCTGTCACTCTCTTCAGAAGCAGAGGATGCTAAGAGTCGCCTTTCCCCAGAAGCAGTTAGTGGCTGACTTCGGAAGGGACAAATTATGAAGACAACAGAATATCATCACTTCTGCTAATGGCTCTCCAAAGAGACCAAAACAGCAACTTTCAGTTGCCTGGCAAGTATGGGCTTTCTTTCTATATCACCTTGTGCATCTTTTGAGAGGCACAATTTTCAATGGAACTGCCTGGAGATGGTTAACCTCCTCCCTGAATCTCGTATCTCAGTTTCTGTTAACAGTTTTGATAACATTGTTCAGGAAACAACTGAATCATGTAGGCACGCCAATATTTTTGTCTGTTTCTAAAGGTTTGTCATAGGCAATCTAAATGATCCCTGCAGGTCAAGGTGGTTCAGATTCTTTCTTTCCCTTTGATTCATTTTACTCTACAAAACCATAACAAGGGTTGGCAGATATTAGAAGGTGCACTGTCTTTTCAGAGAAGCCTGAATATTTCGTGGCAGTGGGAGACTAAGGGAGACTCTTCATTACAAAATGCATATACCGTAGTTTTCTGTGTATAAAACGCCCCCACTTTTCTAAATCAAAATTTCTTTCTTTGCAAGAAAGTTTTCGTTACAAAAAGCAGCTTTCCCCCTCCAGGTTTTGCAAAGAAAATGCAAGGAGAAAGCAATTGCTGCATTTTCATTGCAAAACGTTTGCAATGAAAATGCTGGGGGGGAAGTAGGAATCGCTCCCCCCTCCATTTTCTTTGCAAATGTGGAGAGGGAATGAGGGATCAAAGTACTTTGATCCCTCCCCCCTCCTTAAGTCTGAGTATAAAACAACCCTCCTTTAATTATTTTAGGAAAAAGTGTCTTTTTATACACAGAAAAATGAGGTATCTTAAGCCTGAAGAATTTGTCTTCCAAAACCAGAGAGTTTTCATCATCTGAAAATCATGCAGCTAAAGGTTCCACTGTTTGGCCTCTGCTTATCAGCTGAGATATTTACTGTACAGAAGTGTCTGGGGAAATGACTTTCAACTTCAACTGGCAGGCTAATATGCTCCAAATAATCTGAGTGTGAATAAAATCAGGCTTTATTCCAATAGGAAATTTGTTGAAAACTAAGGAAAATTTTAAAAGGCCTCTCCTCTTATTCTTAAAACCAAATGTGTAAAGCTGAAATGTTATCTTACTTTCAATAAATAGAACATCCAGATTAATAACATAAAAACACAAGTAAGCCTGTAAATATTACAAAATGATTGCTGTTGAACATCCAGATTAATAACATAAAAACACATGTAAGCCTGTAAATATTACAAAAGGATTGCTGTTGTTGTTGTTTTGGTTTAACAAAGAAGTCTTATGAAAAAAGTTATAGTCACCAAAATGCAAAATGATTGCTGTTGTTGTTTTGGTTTAACAAAGAAGTCTTATGAAAAAAGTTATAGTCACCAAAATGTCTTATGACAAAATACTATTTTTCTGGACATTTAAGTTATATTAAAAAGAAAGCAATTAATTTTAAATCTTTCAGTGGTATTCCAATCCCTCACATGCAAAATACAGTTAATTTTAAATCTTTCAGTGGTATTCCAACCCCTCACATGCAAAATATTTGGCTCCTGGAAATCAGGGATACCAAAAATGCTCTTGCTCAACAATCAGAACAACATAATGTTTTACAAAAACATGTCTGCTAGCAGTGAAACACACAAAAACCACAATAAAACTTCCATTTGGAGCAATGTGACATAAACCAAGGACGGGCCACAGCCTGGCAAACACTCACACGCAGTTGGGGAATTACACAAATATGGAAGTGGGTGAGACACCTCCACTGAGAAACAAACACAAACTATTGCAAAGTTCACAACTGTTGGGAGAAAGGAGGCGTATAAATTTAGTAAATAAACAAACAAACCACCTTAACTCAAATGTCAAAGCTAATGGCTGGCTGAAGGACAATAAAAATTCCCAAGGGTGCTTACAGCAATCTGCAAAATTCAAAGAACCCCCTTAAAGACCTTGCCATCCCAAAATCTGATGGCATTACTGGGATTGGGGAGCGACCACAGGTCTGGTGCAAGGAAGCATACAGCACCTCTTGTGCAACAGGCACTTGCTGGACTCCGTGGACCTGGAGCTGCTGTACTTGTCCCGCTTTAGTGGCAGAGCTGTTGTTCTGGACTGGGGAGTGCTGAAAGGCAAGGAGGAGGACTTTACCCTCTTGGTATGGGCAGAGGAGAAAGGCACAACGCTTTGAGGAATTCCTGTTCACAGTTCACATCCACTGGCTTTAAATATGGAATCACTAGGCATCTCCCTCCACCCATTCCAGGAGAAACCCCCTTTTTGGAATAGCTTGTATACAGTATCACTGGTTTTGCAACTGACATTTTATTAAAGACAAAGAGGGGTTTCCAATTTGGTTCTTTATTTTCTTTCACAGCCAAGGAGACAAGGTTGCTAATGAATTGAACAGTAAGCCCATGCATCAGCCTTCCAAATATTTTTTGCTCAAAAGATGGCTCTGAAGTCAGATGTCATATATTCTGTGGAGCCAACACATATACAGATCCAAGTTCTAACAGTTGTTTTGTAATTTACTTAGGAAAAACATCTCTACACAGAAGTCAAAATCCTGTTGTGTAAGTTACACCTGCAGAAAATTGATGACATCACAAAGCAGGAGGAGATTTTCGGTAATCAAGGACTTCCCTCTTCTGTTCCAGGGCTCCCATGTGTGTAAGCAATGTAAGTGATTACATGCAAGTCAGAAAAGCTGCAGTCCAGAAGACAGAACTCTTTAATTACCAAAAACCCTCTCCCTGCTAGCAATGTCATCACCCTTCTGCAAGTATAACTTACGTACACAACATAATTTTGACAAAAAGATCAACTGATCCTGAACAAAACAGTTAAACAGAGGAACACATATAAACCAGTGGCTGAACATTCTAGTCTCCCAGAATTAAATATTCAATTATCATTCAGGAAAAGTATGTTTAGACAAATACAATAAGATATCACTACCTTGCCTGATATAGCTGAGATTAAATCAAACAAAAAGGTTTGATTCTATTTATTTTAAAGTTGTTATAAAAAGTAAAACTAATCAAATGTCCATGAGACACCTTTAAAGACTACCAAACTACTTATGAAAAATTTTGACAGAATCAAAACAATAGCTGAATGAAGTGGGAAAATAAGACAATGGAAATCTATATATATTCATATCTGTGTGCTAAACTTATGGAACAGGAGGTGAGTTCTTAAAAAATTTTTGTTTATGTATGCTGCTCACTAGATAAGTGGGATTAAAGTCTAATAAACAAACAAGCAAGCAAATGAACACAGACACTGACATGCAGACAGAGCAACATTCATTTTTGACATCAGAAGCAAAATCTAATTATTCCAAATGGCTGGAATCCTGTTGGCATAACTATGCAGGCTTAACTAATGATTATGTCATCAGTCTGCAACGCTAAACTTTAATCTTATTTAATTTGGAGCTTCCTATTTTACTCCCCACAGCTTCCAAGGTTTCCTGGTGATCCTAGGGAAGCTTTTGGGAGCTTTGGGACAGCAGGAGGAATCTTTTAATATCTGAAAACTGCTTCTGAGTGGCTGTTACCAGTCCCAATCCTGGCAGCAGGGATCCAGCAGCAATTTTCCAATATTAAAGGCTCCCCCCCCCTTTGAAGGTCATCAAAGGCTTCTCCATATTAAAAGGAATCTCTAAGGGAACCTCAGAACATGAGAGAGAGGGATTAGGAAGCTTGAAATTCAATTCAATATTAATGTCACAGACTGATTATGCCATTGCCATTTTACATCCACATAGTTATGGAACAGGATTTCAGCCATTGTATAGTTGGGTTGTTTTGTTGTACCAGTCTCAGGATACCTCAAATATATTTATCAATGGACTGGGTTGGTGGGCAAGGTTGCAAGTTGATATCAAAAAATAAACAAGTGCATTCTGAAAGCTGAGCTTTCTTGCAAAACTTTATTTTTAAGTACTTAGAGAACTTCTAAACATAGTGCCAGGTCGTGGAGCCATATGCTGTGAGTCTGAATCCCCAATGTGCCTCTCAGAAGAGGAGCCAGTTGAGATTACCTGGAGCATGTTGGACTGATGAGACTACATGCTCTTCAACCGGTGTGGCCCTGGAAAAGCTACACTGTCCCAGAGCACCACCAGAAGGAGAGAGTGGAAAATCACTTCTAAGTACTTTATACCTAGAAAACCCTGGAATGGTCACTATAAGTGAGAAATGATTTGATGGAACATAATGAATATCAGAAGATTCTATTTTTCACTTAAGCATTTTCAGTATACTTCAAAAGAACAGCATTTAAATTAATCAGCAGACAAAGCAAGGATTACCAACAGCTTCCAACATTACAAGAGGAATCCAAAAGATAATCATACCAATTATTTGAAGGTCTGGGAAAAAAAGAGAAGTGTCTTTGTTCAGCACATAAAACACTGTAATACTCTTGTGTTACTCCACAGCTTCCCAGAAGACAGAATTTCACAAGAAGATACTATTGCCTGGAGAACTGTCTTTCTATTACCATCTACTGCAGTTTAACGGAACTAGAAAAGGTATGTAGAAAACGGTTTCAAGCACCTTTCTCAGATTGAGGTATGAAGGCATTTATCACTCTGTGGACCCAACCTGTGAAATCACTTTCTGCTACATTTAATAAACCAAGAATGGGAAGGGTTAAGGAGTCATACAGCATACTGAATCCTTCCAAGCATCATTTCTATGTTCTTATGCTCCAATATGCTGCAATAACTGGAACTCATTCCACAACCTAGCATTAGACTCCACTCTAGGCACAGACTGAACTTCAAATGAGTGGAGCCCACTCCTCAAAGCTCACACAAGCAGTTTTACACTTATTTAGCAAGCATATTACAGAAGGCTTCCAAGGCTTCACCATGGGCGCCATGCTAAACTTGACTGCAAAGTGCTAGGAAGAGTTCCCCCGGACTGTATCTCAAAGATGCAATTGTGACATAGCAGTATTGCCTCTTTGATGACATCATTGCCACAGGGTAGGTCAGTAACAAGCTCTTATCTGTGGCTTATGAAATTCACATTGAGATTTATAGTATACCACCAGTGTTCCAGTCATCTCCTATCTCACTTCACCACCCCAGCTCACTGGAAAACAGACTGGAGTCTGCAAAGCAATAGAAGCTATTTCAGGGCAACCATCTCCATCAGTAAGTCATCAGAGCTTCAACAGGAATACCTACAAGAAACACACCGAGGCGAGCTACGACTGTGGAAATCTTTGCAAGCGCAGCATCTCAATAAAGTCCACTATCTTTACATGGGTTGGTAAATTTGAAGGGGAAAAAGGGAGGGGGGGGGAGACAAAACACTGAGGCACTTTAAAGACTAACAGATTTATCTCCATATGCACTTTCATGAATGAACATCTATTCTTTCCAGACGGAGTGTGCAAATTTTTACATAGCTAAATGTGAAAGTAAATTTCAACAGGACGTGGCATGAGGTTAATGAAATCCAATCAGTTGGAGTCAGCAAGGCTGAAAGAGCCAAGTGGAATGGGCACAACCAGCCCTTGCAGCCCAGTGTTTAATATGAATAACACTGCATGACAAAATCAATTTCTGTAGATGGGCCAGGCATCAACCTAGGTCTCCACTCAAGCCAGAACAAACTGTGTCAAGTACATAAGTGAATTCAGCATAATTATTTCTACATGTGGTGTTATACAGAGCGAGCATTAGCTGATGAGAGCTGGATACCTCATTAATCTCAGGTGGCTTGTTGCCTTCAAAGTATGGCATTATGTTAACTTCACCTTATTAGATTATCTATCTTCTTTTTTTACTCTTCGTTTCCATAAAGATTTCTCTATTCTTTAAAAACTGTTTTTATTTATTTAATTGCTTGCTTGCTTGCTTATTTATTTAAATAAATGTATGTGCATTTTGTTTATCCTCCAGATCAGGCTGGATAAAAATCAATGAGGCCTAACCAGTAACAAATAGAGAGGGACTAGTACCTCATGGGATTTGGATACTATACATTGCTTAATGCATCCTACATTGTTGGCTCACATTCAGCTTGTGATCTACAACAATTTCAAGTTCCCTTAATTTGTAGCCTTACCGATCCAGGTATCCACCATTTTGTAACTGTACATTTGTTTTTCTTTTTCCCTAGTGTAGAGCTCTGCACTTACTCCTGCTAAATTCCATTCTGTTGTTTCTGGCCCAGTGTTCAAGGCTATTGATATTTTTTGAATTTTGTTCCTGTCTTTCAAAGTATTAACTTATCCACCCAATCTTGTGTCATCCGCAAATTGGATCAACCATCACACATATTCCCACATCTATTCTTCAGCTTCTAATTAGTCTGTTTCCCAAAAAATAAGAGACGGTCTTATATTAATTTTGCTCCAAAAATGCATTAAGGCTTATTTTCAGGGGATGTTTTATTTTTTTCCATGTACAACATTCTGCGTTTATTCAAATACAGACATGTCATCTTATTCTGGTTGCTACACAATGGTGGAAGGTGGGGTTTCACTTAACTGGGGCTTACTTCTGGGGTAGGATTTTTATTATGAGCATTCTGAAAAATCATACTAGGGCTTATATTTAGGTTAGGTCTTATTTTAGGGGAAATAGGGTAAATTGAGGTGAAACTAAGAGGGATCGAGTGGTTCAGTTAAAAAATCCTTGACTGGACATGCAGATGATGAAATGAGAACTGGAGTGGGTAGACAGATGAAGGAAATGAGCAATAGCAATTTCAATGAAGACCAAAAGTGCAGTTTCTTCGAATGGTCGATGGAACACTGAAATGTGACTTTCCCAAACCTGCCAGGTCTGACCACCTGGTCACCCACCTCCGGTGAAGAGTGGACCTGCTGCACGCCATGGATGGCCAGCGTGACTGGTCCTCCTTTACCAGCCTGTGAAGTACTCTGTACCACCAGCCGCTGAAAGAGCATGACACAAAAGAAGGAAGCCCCGGTTAACTGACATATTCTCCAGAAGACGACTGCCATCTTGAAAACATTTATTGGGAACTTAGGCCAGTCAGTGGTTTAAATGTTTGCATATAGCACAGATTACATTTCTGTCAGAAAAAAAAATAATTACCAGCCATTCTGCATGTTGACATTAAAGTTTCTTGCAACTCCCCCACCCCTCACCCCCAGTTGGCTCAAGGCACTTTAGTGCCTGGGTCAAAAATGGCATCTATTGATGTTTTAAGAAGCACATCACAAAATTAGCCTACGTAAGCTGACTGGAAAGAACAGGAATTGTACAACAGGTTAACTAAAGGCTTTTATTCTAGAGCAGATTCTTCTTGACTGCAAAAGCAGGGTGAAGAGATTATAAGGCATGTGGAACTGGCAACTTGAAGGACGGCAGGCAAAGGCTTACCCTGTGGGCCATTAACTGGTTCTAGCCACAAGAAGTTGCTACTGAGTGACCAGCTAAAATCAGTGAGGAAGCCTTTTAATGATTATCAGCTTACTGCCGCTTTGGGTGAGCTCATACCGCTTCAAGAACTGATTTTGCTATCTGTCTGCCTCACCTCACCTCACCTCTCCACAACTGGGATTTAACCTTTATTCTGAAGATTAGTGTTTCCATCTTCCAGGTACCATCTTTCACATGTTATCCACTCATACTGCTGTTTGGTAGCATCTTCCTTTCTTGGCATATGATAGGACAGGGATTTGCGTTATGAGAATTCTTTTCTTACTCAGCTGACAGGTGAGCTGCACTAACAAAGAGAACCCTTCATAGGTCACCTTTATTTTTATTTTTTATTTATGCAAATTATGTTATGTGATATGTTATATATTTAATTGTTTTATAGTGTGTGTTGTAAGCCGCCTAGAGTGGTCACAGTTGACTAGATAGGCGGGGTATAAATGAAATAAATAAATAAATAAATGAAGAAGGAATAAGAACAAGACACTCCATAACAGGAGCAAAAGAGGGGGCAACACTAAGAGGAGAAGGAGACTGCTAACACTGGAAAGAGATTTAGGAAAACCTGTTGAGAGAATCGTATGAAACTGTGTTGTCAACATGGAATGCTGGAAGGTGACTGACAGGACTTAACAGAAGAAGAACTCAGAAGAGGGACACTGTGAAAGAAATTGTTGGTTTTTAAATGGGTGGAGTCTAGAAATTCAAAATATTCTCTTGTGAGTGTCATAAAGCAATGCTTTAGAGAGATGGAGTACTTAAGAAATATGAACTGATTTCTTCCTTCTTCCTTCTTCTGACTAGCACCATGTGTGCTTGCTGTCACATAAAACCCTTGTGTTACTCCACAGCCTCCCAAAAAAGAATTTCACAAGAAGGTACTACTGCCTGGAGAACTGTCTTTCCAATCGCCACCTACTGCAGCTTGACTCAAATAGAAAAGAGATGCAAGAAAGGGCTTCCAGCACCTTTCTGAGGATGAAGCAATGCTCTTTTGTTTGGAACTGTGTGCGCTCCCTGTCATCCTTTAATATGGAACAGAACAAAAGCCTGCTCTGCAACCAAGCACTGAGGACACAGCCAGCCAGTCAAACGGTTACAGGTTAGGAGAGTATTATCTTGCTCTGAACTACTGTTTTCTGACCACTTCTTCAATGTTACAAATATTCTGATTTCTTGAACAAAGACACTTCTACTTGCTGGCTGTCATTATTATTATGTGCCTTGGATTCTTTTATACTCACTAGGGAGAATTCGGGGCATCTCACAGTTACGGAGGCTCTTTCACGTTTTTTAATAAGTCACACACAAACATCCTCAGATTCTACTTAGATGGGAGACACTACAAAAGCAATATTTATGAAGTTTGAGAGATCCTACCTGTATTCCACATTGAACTCAACTTCACAAATGTGAACTCTAGGTGCAAATGTATCCAGAGGAATATTCTAAGTACAGTATATACTTTGGAACCCGTATGTAAACTAAGTTGCTATGACTATATATCCTAGTCCTGCTGACCTAAGGCCCGGAAAATTAAGACTTAAAAAAATCAAAACAAATAAAAATGTAAGACTGCTAGCTATAGCAAGTCACTTTGAGTAGTAGAAGTCAAAAGGCTGATCTATGAATAGGTTCAAATAACCCAGGTACAATGGTACCTCAACTTACGAATGTCTCCACTTGTGAACGTTTCAAGTTACGAACGGCTACGGTCGCAAAATGTTGCTTCGACTTGAAAACTAAAAAAAGCTTTTCCTGCCCTTTCTTCTTTTGACCTTAGGTCAAAAGAAGAAAAAAAATTTAAAAAATTCTCCCCCAAGTGATAGAGTACGGATTGACCAGCTTTGCATTAGTTCCTATGGCAACTAATGCTTTGACTTAAGAATGGCGCCTCGACATAATGAAAACCAGCAGGTACAGATTACATGGTTTTCAATGCACTCCTATGGAAAAGTTTGCCTCAACCTATGAACTTTACGATATACGAATGCCGTTCCAATACAGATTAAATTCGTAAGTCGAGGTACCACTCTACAGGGCAAAAATTCTAATATAGATTGCAGCAAACAGGATAGGTATAAAAATAAAAGGTATCATCATTCAGTTCCCTCACTCAGGTTGTTTTGAACTCAAGGCACTTACATCTGGTACAGATACATTACCTAGCTTCCTATCAATAGTCAAAAACATTATTGGACTGGAGCTCATCAATCCCCCCCTCCAGAATCACATTTTTTGTGTGTGAAGGTGTGTCCTTTCCCTAAATTCTCTAAAGTCTCCCCACAGATAATTAAAAATATTCTAATTTAACAATCCTTTTAAAATTTTAATATCATGACATCATTAATAGCTACATTCCAAATATCATTATACTATTCAGGTAACTGAAAATCATATTTTACTTTTCTCTTTTTTGCTATAATTAATCATGCTGCTGTTAATAAAATAGAAATTAGTTCTTTCTTCAACTCCTTTAGGACAAACTTCCATATTTAACTTCAGTATTATATTCACTTCCTTAAAAAAAACAACTTCCAAAATATCAGGATCTTTTCACATTCCCACTACTTATGAAAATACATACCTATACCTTGCTCACATATCGAACATAATTTAGAATATTTAGTATCCACACAATTTTATTTTACCGGTGCTAAATACCCTCTCCAAATTAACATAAAACATTTCCTTTATTCTTAGAATATACTGAGATGCAGCATGATGTAAAGGCTGGACCATTAGACTAGGGCTCAAATGATGTGGGTTTAAACCCCTGCTTGGCCTGGATACTCACATCTTACGGTGGGGCAGCAGCGGCAATGGCATGTTACTCCTTGAATATGTCACATATTAAGGTCACCATATGTTGGAAATGACTTCATGGCACATAACAACAAATATAGAAACTGTACATCACAGGATATGGCTCTCATTATTTCCATCAGCAGAGAACACGAACAACAAAAGTGTTTGAATAAATTCAAAAATAACACCCAGACTGTGTCCTGACACCTCCAAAAGGTACACAACAGCTGAGCCAGTATGTGAGTCTCCTAATACAGTTAACGGTGCAACTGAACCAATCAAACTGATCATCTGGGATGGACTCTTCCTACAGTTTAACTATAGAAGTGGGACAAACCCTAAAGTATCAAACTTTCCCAAGATATGGCTTTCTTGAACTCTTTAATATAAGCACACACCATCCAATACGCTATCTTACAGTTATCAGTTATGATTATTTTCCTGACAAACTGTCCTGCTTGAAGCCAGGCAGACAGGAGGATAATTTGGAAAGGTATACATAAATCTACACTACTACGTAGCATACTCAACACTCAGAATTGCCAGTGGGATGACCACTTCAGTCGGTGAAGTTAAAAAGAGCAAAATCAACCCTTGGAATACCTTATAGACCTCTTAGGCATCCTTCAGTCTCGAGAGACTATGGTAACGTGCTCTGTATCAAGGACTTGGAACAGCATCTAGTGTGGCTGAAAAGGCCAATTCAAGAAGGACAATCCCTTCCACACTGAAGACAAATACTGTACAATCTGTCCCCTGTTCAGCTCCCTGATTTTGCTGCTTCCGGGACTGCTTCTCGGCCTCGGCCTGCCGGACAAGGGTCTCTTCAAATTGGGAGAGGCCGTGATGCAACGCCTGCCTCCAGGCTGGACAGCCATATGTCAAGGTTTCCCATCTGTTGAGGTCCATTCCTAAGGCCTTCAGTTCCTACTTGCAGATATCCTTGTATCGCAGCTGTGGTCTCCCTCTGGGGCGATTTCCATGCACTAATTCTCCATACAGGAGATCTTTTGGAATCCGACCATCAGCCATTCTCACAACATGCGCAAGCCAACGTAGACATCGCTGTTTCAGTAATGTATACATGCTGAAAATTCCAGCTCGATCTAGGACTACTCTATTTGGAACTTTGTCCTGCCAGGTGATGCCAAAAATGCATTGGAGACAACACATATGGAACGTGTTCAGCTTCCTCTCCTGCCATGCACAAAGGGTCCAGGACTCTGCAGTACAGGAGTGTGCTCAGGACACAGGCTCTATAGACCTGGATCTTGGTATATGCCATCAGTTTCTTATTAAGCCATACTCTCTTTGTGAGTCTACAGAACATGGTTGCTGCTTTGCCAATGCATTTATCTAGCTCGACATCTAGGGAGAGAGTGTCGGCTCCGTGGGGTGCCTGGGATCCAAGCCAGGGACACCATGGAAAAAGAGATGGAACATAGAGCTATGAAGGCTGTAGAGGAGCTGTTCATAGCTCTATGTCAAACAGGAACTGGAAGTGAAGGCCATGTGTCTGCCTCTCACAGCGCCATCTCTATGTTCACTGATTGAGGTGCTTATTGTGTAGCCTCATGAGTTTCCTATACGAGGACCTGGAAAGAGATGGGCTCTTGGGGATATTCCAGGGGTGGTGGGTGGGGAGGAGGGAGATTGGATGGCTGGGGAGTTTTGTCAAGATCCTGCCCCTGGGGGCAGAGAGACTCGTGATGGCTCCTCCAAGCAAGGGGAGTGGTCAGTGGTCAGTAAATCAAGGGAGCCGCAAGTTCAAAATGTTTGGGAATCACTGCTATAGGCAAACAACTAGTCAGCTACTGAACCATTTCAAAGAAAATTTCCCTCAAAACAAATCCTGGAAACTACAATTTTGCTAAAGGACTACACATTTTAATACAGAATTCTCAACACCCCCACAGAACAATTCACAGGGTTGGTTGGGGAAAACAACACCCAAGACAAATTTTCTTGAATGGTTATCATTCTCCATTCTAATAAGATGCTATGGCTAGAATGGATTCTTAGAAAAATACGTGCAGCATCTTGATGTGACCTGGCAGGCATGCTACTGAGCAGAGCTGGACACTTCAAAACTCCATTAATCATTTGTAGCAACATCCTGGAGAGAGATCAGACTCACCTGTTGAGGTACTTGCACACTTGTAAGCTGAAGAGGAGAAACTGTCCCAGGCTTTGTTTGCACATTGGCTTGGACCAGTAACCTCTGCCAAACAAAATAACATGGGAACAAAGTCAGTCCAGAACAATTCACACCAATGGCAGAAGACCATTTCAACCTCATCTATTTTCACATGGCACCTGTCGTTAGAGACAATAACACTCATTCTTACTTCTAAATTTCACTACAAGACACTGAACCAGTTTCTCAGGCACTACTGGTCTTGCGGTCTGCTCTCAGACCGTTTCTTTTCCTGCCCCCATTCCTCCAAATCCTAATCAATACAGCTGAGAACAGAATACAGTGGTGCCTCGCACAACAAGCGCCCCGTAGAGCGATGGATTCGCTCTACGGGGATGTTTTTTCGATCGCTAATGCGATCGCAGAGCGACGGCCCCAATGGGTGAAAATCGCAGAGCGAAGGTCGGTAAGTGGTTCGCTTACCGACCTTCGCGTTGCGACCCGCCGATCAGCTGTTCTGCGGCTACAAAATGGCCGCCGGAAGCCCCAAAATGGCCGCGCGCAGCGTTTTCGCGCCCTCGTTAAGCGAGGGGAGGGCGCGAAAATGGCTGACGGCCATAGAGGAACATCGCTGTACGGTGAGTAAATCAGCCGATTGGAACGCATTAAACTAAGTTTAATGCATTCCAATGGCTTTTTTCTTTCCGTACAGCGATGTTTCACACAGCGAGGGTTAATCCGGAACGGATTAACCTTGCTGTGCGAGGCACCACTGTACATGAGAGATTCCCTGCTAACAATATACAAAATGATCCTGGCTCCCCAACTCCGTTCTTGTTCTTACTCACTGTTTCGTCACTCCCTTCATAGGATCAGGAACAGAACCCCAGGAACTCGATTCATACCTTCCATTGCCTATTATTCTCACATAATTACCAGATAGAAAGTTCTCTACACTTCTCACATCGTCAGCTGTCCTGATAGAGCAGGGGTCTCCAAACTTTTCCTTGTGAGGGTCACATCATATATTTTGCACATTTTTGAGGGCTGAAGGAGGAAAGGGGAACCCAAGTGATCCTCCCCCCCCGCTGTCTTTGCTTAGCTTGTGAGGGTCACATCATATATTTTGCACATTTTTGAGGGCTGAAGGAGGAAAGGGGAACCCAAGTGATCCTCCACCCCCGCTGTCTTTGCTTAGCAGGGGTGGGGATTGCTTGGGTCCCCCTTCCCTCCTCTTCCTATGCCCAGCCATATAAAAAGACGGGGGGGGCAGATGTGGCCTACAGGCTGTAATATGAAGACCCCTGTGATAGAGCATCCTATGTATGTAATATCTTACATGTCATTTTATCAAAAACAGAGCTGGGTTCCTGGCCAATTCACCTACCTGCTGAGTAGCCTGGACTTGCTGTACCACCTGAGTTGGTACCCCTGACTGTGTGGCTGTGGAGCCTGGACTGGACTCTGAAACTGTGTCGCTGGGCCTCATGGAGCCTTCTGCAGGGAGGAGGAAAAGAAAAGTTTACAACTACAGTACTGCCACAGGAAACAATTTCGCAAATATCAAAAAAAGCAGCTTGATTAGAGTGGAAGACTAGTATTGAGGGGTAGGGTCCTAGAAGCAGGTACAGAACTTCTTGGAGTTCAGGTATTAGGCATCCAAGTTATTATTATATAATGCAATAAAGGCAGAACTATACCTTATTTGTTGAGAGATATCCATACATCATACTGCAAGGCACTACTTCAGATGGGTTATAGCATCTTCTTAGCACAAGCTCTTCAATCTTTGGTCATGAACACCGTATAATCTTACATTTCTTTACTCAAAAGGAAGTCCAACCAAATTCAATGGCCAAATCTACTGAAACTTGAGAAAATGCACTAACACCTCCCCTCTATTACTATACACTATCATATACATTATGAGCAGGAGATCTGTGTAGAATTATAATACATCCTGCCTGCAATACTGCTGTGGCCTGATCCCTCTGCTCCACTTCCCTCTCATTTTAAGGACTAATTTAACATTTTGCTTATTTTACTACTTTAGAGGGCGAGCGTACTCTTCATTTCATCTAGTGCCAGAATAAAAAATTTAAACTACCACAAGAGGTCCTACCTGATTCTGTTTAATACACCCACTTGAGAAAAAACTATTTGCCAGCAACAGGCTTCCTATACTTAGCATTGGAACACTCATCTCCTCTGAATTTTAGATGCAGCAAATGAGGTTATAGCTTCATCTTTTGCAGCATGATTTCTTCTCCCCAAACCGGTCCTTGACTGCACCTGGACACGCTGTTCCGTTCTTAGCACATAATCACACTAAGGATGTTACCAGGCTATAAAAAATGGCAGTTTCCCCCTATTTTTCCTAAAAACATTACATCTCATGGCTCCCATAACACCTTCTCAAATTACAGCCCGAGGCAACAAAGTGCATGTCCTTACTCAAAACAAGGAGGGAACGCACAGGCTCAAGTACCAGTAGCAACTGTTGAGCTCAGAATCATAAGCTCCTTGTGTGTTTTTCCTAAAGTTTGAACATCTGTTGCTAAGACAAAGCTTAGAATTAAAGAATTGTACAGCTTGAAGGGATCCCAAGGGTCACTAAGTCCTTTTCCCCATATGAAGCAGGAAAGCCACAGCTAAAGCATCCCTGACACCTGTGCATCCAATCTCTGTCCTAAAATCTGCTACGAAGGAGTGCCCATACCTTCAGAGGTAGAATATTCCATTACCAAACTATAACTGAAGTTACTGCCATGAAGTTCTTGCTTCTCTACTCTAATTCCAGTGGCCGTGATGGATTTGCAAAAAGCAAGGCAAGGAGGTGGCCTGGGAAACCACAACCTCTGACACAGGCTAGCAAATCCTAAAGCAGAAATCTGTTTGCAAGTACTTACGGTCAAAAGACATTGCATAAAGACAATCATAATACATGATGAGGCTGCTGAAAAGGTTTCAGCTCTAGTTGTTGCTTCCTTGAAAGGCAAGGCTTTTATAAACTGGAACCTTGGCCAACTAATCCCTGCTAGTTCCTACCAAAGCTTCAGGCAGGTTGGTTTCTAATAAACAGTCGCATCATAGTAGGTACACCCTCTGTTCTTCTCAGGATGGGGTGGCGGATGCCGGCTGTTCACCCGATTGTAATCACGAAGCAGGAGTTCACGTTTCATGAGTGTCTCATTTGACATGCTCAACAGGAGGGAGAGAAAGCGCAGAGGAAGTCATTTTGGGCCACCTGCATTAGGCTGGCGAATTTGCTTATGTTCTTGAAAAGTAAAATCATACAGAAGGTTTTGAAAAGCTGTTCCTTTGGAAAGCTGGCATTCCTGTAACGTGAAGAGAAGCACTGCAAAGCCTATATGACTATATACACGGCTCTATGGAGAATTGCCAAGCAACACTGCAGACATCTCAGGTATCTCTGAGAACCTTTTGCCCAGAAGGAAAAGCTAGATCTTTTCCAATTCATTGAAAGAACCCACATCTTCTTATGTAGTTGTTCCAGTAAGTATACTTCTTTTTTTAAAAAGCTGAAAAATCAAAATTTTAAAATATGCATAATGATGTTTCTAATAATGGTGGGCAGGCATTCTAGGATAAAGAGAATCACACTTCCATGACTTGAATATATAAAATGTTTATGCCTCTTTAGGTATAATAAAAGACAATGCCAGTGAATACATGATATTCTCTGGGGCATGAAAGCAAGTAAGATTTTCCTAACAATGAGAGAAAGCAGGGTCACCATAGAGGTACCTCAGAAGAGCCTATCAGAAACAAATGCAGAGAGAGCATGGTCTGCTAGGAGAGTTTTTAGCTTACAAAGACTGAACAGTACACTCCAATGTTGCTGGGGGAGGGGGAAGCATTCTTCACCAGCTCAACCTCCTGGAGTCTTAAGTTTGCCTACCAGCATTCTGACTGTGCTCGATGACCAGATTTCTTCATTTCACTCAGCTCTGAGATGGCAGTTAAGGAAACACTGACTGGCTTTTTTCCCTTGGGAGGCAGAACTGCCCCTTCTCTCCTTACTGTCCAGCTATAACCCAAGGCCAGAGAATCATTATTCTTTATCATCATTATAATCATTTAACTAGCTAGGTGTCTTTCCCTTGCTCCCTCTCTTTCCCTTGTTAAAGACAAAGGAGTGGTAACATAAAGGGACCTTGGACAATTCTCACTGGCATATTACAGGTATACTTCTAATTATAGCAAGATTTATAACACTGACAGCATTGAGTCTTGACAGTTCTATTACGGACAGTAAGGAGTAGGATGAAGAGGATGTAAGTCTACCCAGGGCGCATACACATTACTTCAACTCCTTTTGGAAACAAATCACAGGAATGATGCTGAAGAAATAGAGCCCTCAGGAACTAGCATTTCTTACTTTGCCCTTAGGAAACTACACAAGTCACTCATACTTTTTTTTGTAATGGTATGAGCACACTTTTGCTATTTTTTAGAATCTCAAAGCCAAATCCTGAATTACTAGATATCCATTTAAATTGTATCTATTTGACTCAGATCCAGTAAAATGAAGATAAGGGTTAGCGGACTGTCCCTTTCCATCTATCACAAAATGAAAAAGATCTCACCATGACCACAAAGATTACTCTCACAAAATGTTCTGCATTGTGTTGAGATAGCAAATGGCAAAGAAAAAAGGCAACAAGGTAATGTAAGATTTCTGAATTATCAAATGAAGCTATCATTAAGTGAGGAAAATAAACCAAAATCATTCAAAGCAGGACATGCAACAGCAGGGTTATCCTCCACCCAGAATGAATTCTTAAGTTGAATTTTTAACCACATTTCTGTCTTTTTTTCACCATAGCTGAAAATCAGCTGCATCTTGCATTTGCTGGATGAAGGGATCTGTGTAACTCAAACCCCTGTGTATCCTACATCAATACAAGGTATCACCTTACTGTTTTTGTTAGCTATGATTTTGTACAACACACATGTTATACTGGCAGTGAATCAAAAACAGAATTATGGAGGCTTTTACTTACTAAAAGGGTAGAAGTGTGTAATTAACTACATGATCACATACAGGTACAAAGCAAGACATAGGGACAGAGTAAAGCAGTGATGCATGAGAATAAAGCATAACCCCCCCCCCCAAAATCACAGACACCTGCCCTTTTCTACTCAGATACTGTGTAAGTGGAATATACAAGGTGGTACTGCCTACTCTAAAACCTTAGGCGTAAGTATTCCAATATCCACTACTAGATCCTTTTTAATTGAGGACAATGGGTAACAAACTGATGACGTTCTGCATGAGCTATGGCTCATTTCCAGAGGAGAGATGAAGTAACCCTCCATTCAACATCTTAAAGACAGAACGTTAGGGTCTGAATACAGTACTGAGCTAGACCAGAACTGGTCCAACTTCTGTCCCTATGCAGATTGACAAAGACTGTGCTCTCAACCACATATATGGCAAAGCATGTCCAACACAACTGACCTATGGCTGCCTCTCTCCTATATTTCTACAAGCATTCTTGTCCAGTTTTAGTGTTGTATGAAACAAAAAACCAGAAGTGAGAGTATTGAAACCTATAGAGCTCTAACCTGAACGGATGGCATCTGGATGTAGAAAATGTAGAAGTAAGCTCTTAAGATGCAAAATTCTATCACAATGTTCTTTCGGACTCACAAACACCCACTATCACCTGGAAATCCTGATTCCTAATCTGTACTGTACATATAGCTCCTGTGTCACTTCCTCTGGGATTTAAGATCTATGTTCTGGAATAGATCCCACTAGGCACAATAAAGACAGTATCTTTTTTTTAGTGGGTGGGTGAATTTTCCATTTTTGTGTGGAAAAAAAATCTATTCTTCTTGTAAACATTTCAAAGATCTGGGAGAAGGATGGAACTGAGATGGAGTATTTTTGGTTACAGAAAAAATGCACCAAAAATCCAGTATACATCATATCAACAGGAAATAATAATGAAAAGAAAAATCTTGCCAGTTCTGCAAGTTGCTTTCCATAGCCAGGAAATAATCTAAGCACTAAGGAAAAACACCCAGCCACAACACAAATCAAACAGCTCCACTCAGCAGCTTAGGAGCTCCCTGATTAGAATCAGAGTTGGGCCAGGTTTCTTGGGATAATGTTTCAGGCCAGGCGAAATATTTTATTACAATACCAAAGGCAGCAGGAATTCTATCTGGCTATTTGTCTTCTTCAAGATGCAGAGAAGATCTGCCATGCTCTTGTACAGCTTCCACCCATTTCAATTAGGCTTGTGCAAGAGAACAATGAATTGTAAATGTCAGTGAATGAAGGGGGATTGGCTTGGATTTTCTGCCTTAGGGAGCAGAAAGTCTTGGGCCAACTCACTCCAGCTAAGCATTAAAAACACATCCTTCAGTAATAATGTGGTTCACAGCCTGAGATGAGGAACCTTAAGCTGGAAACAATCATACAGAAAGGCTAGCAGCTGTACAAGAGTCATGGAACAAGGTATTATTAATGTTCATTCATTAATCAAGAAATGTGCTAAAACATGAAGTAAAAAAATGACTGTGCAGGTTTTCCAGATCAAAACTAGTCTCCTTGTGTACCTATGGCAGAAACGAGGGTGTGCAATAAATGCAGCTTAGCTTTTACATCCATTTGTGAAATGATCCATTTAAAGCTAATCATTTCCAAGTATCATTAATGTAAATGGAACAGTATAGTGTGTGCAAAACCCACACATTGCCATTAGTGGGATTTTACATTGTCCAAAATCATACCCTTAAACAGCAGCATAGCGCAGATGAAGAGTTCACTCCATATCACCCTACAGACAAGATACAGACTGACACTCCAGAATAACTATAAAACTGTATAGGTAAGTTCACTAACTATCTGATTAGTGACAGCAAAAAAAAATCTGATTAGTGACAGCAAAGTCCTGCTGTAGAACACTAAGTTGGATTCTATTCTCATCATCACATTTAAGTTCTAAATGCAAATAGTCATTGTTGATGCAGGAGCCAGAAAGAATTCAGCTACAGACTGACACTCCAGAATAACTATAAAACTGTATAGGTAAGTTCACTAACTATCTGATTAGTGACAGCAAAAAAAAATCTGATTAGTGACAGCAAAGTCCTGCTGTAGAACACTAAGTTGGGTTCTATTCTCATCATCACATTTAAGTTCTAAATGCAAATAGTCATTGTTGATGCGGGAGCCAGAAAGAATTCAGCTAGATTCTTCCCTCAGTGCAACTCTGTACAGTATGCTTATTACTCGAGGCTAGGTGGATGAACCACAGTTGCATAATACTAGGTTCTGTCTTCCTAGCTCATGCAGAAGATAGCCAGAATGAAAAAAGACTGTCCTTTTATATAGCTAAGAAACAAAATCCATAATACTGCATAATCTGTCTGGATTGGAGAAGAGGAAAGATTAGTGTTGCTGCTTTTATCAGAACACAAGATCACCCTGATGTACAGCAAATTAAGTATTTACTCATATAATGAATATACAGAAAATGCTACAGAATTAAATCAGAGAGTCAGATAAATTTATGGAAGCAAATGGGTCTATCAGTAGTTATTTGCCTTGATATCTAAATGAAAGCTCCACGGTCCAAGTTGGTGCTTCCCTAAGTGCCAGACGCTAGAGGGCAAATAGTAAGAATAGATCTGTTCCCATCAGGCCCTCCCTGTGCCCTTCCCAAAGTAATCTGCATAGCTACTGTCAAAAACAGAACAGTGGTCTAGAATAGATGGACATTTTGTTTAAACCAGTAGGCTCCTGATAAATCCTTATATATGTAAAACATGTATTAATTTATTTCTATATATACCCTCCCCTTCATCATATCCCAGGCACGTTAAAACAAAACTTTTTTAAAAGATTGCAATACACAGAATTAAAATGTTAACATTTAAATGTAATAAAATAAATAAAAAGAGAACTAAGTATAGAACACAAATCCAATCTGCTAACCAAGAGGTATTCAAAGTTTGGGCAGCAAGGGTAAGCAGGTGAAAAGAGCTATCATTTATGGCTATCAAAGAACTATGAAATATTGTTCCTTGAGAGATTCAACCGAAATGATGAGCCTGTGTGCAGAACAGCTTTCATAAAGCTGGAAGGAGGAGGAGGATGTCTATTATATAGATTTCTCAAGGAAATCATAGACAAATATCTTTTAGTGATGCTTTAGGAACAGAGTTCTGAAAGCAAAAGAGACATCCCTTAAAAGTCGTCATGCTGTTGCCAGTCCTCCTCATTAGGAAAGAGTATGTGTTGACAGAAACACAAGACTGACAATGATTAGACTCTGGTTCGCCACTGATTCCTGTTCTGAGAGGGGACAGTCAGAAACAACACTGAACCTTTGGTTTTCCACTGACTGTTCTTGAACGCTGTAAAACATACCCTCATCCCTTACAGGTAACAAGATGTGCACTCTTCCTGCCCCCATTTGCTCCACACCACACTTACCAGAGACTGTCACTACAATGTACTGTTGAGGTGTTGGTGCTGGTGTTTGTTGTCCAGTAGGTGGAGCCTGCGTCTGGGAAGGCGGGATTTCTGAGACATACTGCTTCGGGGTGGGCTGTTGTTGTTGCGCACCTTGCAGTTCTGCCACATACTGCTGCTGAGCTGCTGCCGCCACCACCACAGGTGCTGTTGTGGCTGCCGTTGCTGCTGGCTGCTGCTGCGGCTGTTGTGGCTGTTGTGACTGTTGTTGGACTGCCTGTAATTCCGTAACGTACGCCTGTGTTGCCATGCCAACAGTGGGGAAAATGATAATAAATAAGGCTTTTTTTTTGCTTCCTTTCGTTGAAGAAAAAAGAGGAAAAACAAATAGAACAAAAAAGAAAGAAAGAAACAATTAATCAATTAGAAAGCATTCCATAGACAGAAAGAGCTCCCTACAGTTCTATTCACTGTGCACTAACTTAATAGCATACCACACTTAACACCTAATTGCAGTCAATTACAGAAAAGAATAGCTGCAGGTACACTGATTACTCCATGTGGAAGATCAGCCTGGAAATTCAACAGCCCAGAACACAACATTTTGCATTTACCCAGATATATGTGCATAACTACACAAGCCAAATTTCCAGTAATTTCCTTTTGCTGAATACAACCTTCTGAAATTCAATATTCTTCCAGTGCCCAAAAGATTCAGCTCACAAGAGATCTGGAGAACTGAGCACAAGCTGTCCAGTCCCAATCGCCAGGAAGAGTCATGTGAGCTGCGTAGGTACTGATCCCCATGTTTCTGGCACTGTTTTAAGAAAACAAGAAGCCTCTGAGATGATCTACCATTCCTTACTTTTTGAGCCTCAACTGAATTCTGCACTGCTATTTTTGAAAGGAATTGAGTACATTCAAAATGGCCTTGGATTGTATTATATTAAAATAGATATATACAGTATTACAAAATAAATCCTGCAATTCTTTACTGTTATTTTTGTAATTCTGCAGTCATTTTCGGTGGACAACAACAACCTCCAAGTAACCCGCATATAAATTAAACCTGTAGAAGGAAAACTGAGGGATGCCTGACCAACACTGAGCTGTGTTATGGAGACTGTGTATATACTGCTGGCATTACAATGGGCAGCCATCCTGAACAGGCACATAAAAGAACCAGCAATTAGCCACAACAGCAAGACCAAGTTGGGACAGAAGTCGCATGACACAATATCCTTCTGTATGTTCCTTTACAATGCCAACATAGGTAAAGGTAAAGCTTCCCCTTGACAATTTTTGACCAGTCGTGTTGGACTCTAGGGAGCGGTGCTCATCCCCGTTTCAAAGCCACAGAGCCAGCGTTTTGTCCGAAGACAATCTTCCGTGGTCACATGGCCAGTGCGACTTAGACACGGAACGCTGTTACCTTCCCACCGAGGTGGTCCCTATTTATCTACTCGCATTTACATGCTTTCAAACTGCTAGGTTGGCGAGGAGTTGGGACAAAGTGACAGGAGCTCACTCCATCTCGTAGATTCGATCTTACGTCTGCTGGTCTTCTCACCCTGCAGCACAGGCTTCTGTGGTTTAGCCCACAGCGCCACCACGTCCCTTACAACATAAAATCACCTAATTACCAGAGCCACAAAGTAACATTATTTTAAAAACACCTCAAGAAGTCAATGTTTTATATTCTCTTTGAGCCAAAATATTCATCAGGCTGGAACATCATACTGTGTTTGGAATCAACTTTTGTATCAGGACCCAATGAATCTTCAAAATGGGTGGAGAGTGCTTGGGGCCACAGAAAGAAAATTCAGAAGGATCAGATTTTGTACCCAGTGACAGTGGCATAAAGGTAATAGGCTGAAAGCAGTCACTGAGTTCCTGGCATCAAGGACACCAGAATCTCCTAAACAGGAGGTACTAAGTCGAAAATATCAGTCTACATAGCAATATGGTAACAAAGTAACATTAAGCTACATTAAAACTGCATACAGATGCAAACAATAGCTTGTTCTTTTAATTCACAGCCAACTCATCCTTCTGAGAGGTTGTGCTACTATCTAACAATCCAGAAAATGAGATACAGCAGAGCTTTCTTCCTTCATTGTCAAGGTGCCATACCATAACTAACAAAATCTGATTTTTTCTTTTATAGTTTATTTATTAAAAGAAAAAAAAAGGGGGGAGAAACCCTATTTAGATTATTCCTACTTCCATTTTAAGCCCGAAAGCTAGGCTCCTTTTCTGTTGTACACCAATACTCAAATTCAAGGATTCCCTGTAATCCTCATCAAGAAGAGAATTAATGGTGGACGAAGATCCTTGACCATTTTCCCTACTGCTGTCAACCTTGCAACTTGACACTTTAAGGGAATGCTGGAATGGTTTCAGGGTACCTTTAGGGTATCCTCTCAGTTCATATTGGGTGACCCAACACTCCTTGACTAATGCCAGAAGTGTTCTATTATTTTTAAAAAGCATACAACTGGAAAAGTGGCATGTGGATGAAAACATTTGGCTGCAAAACACATATATGGTATATATATGCTGATCAGAAACTTCTGATTGTCTTTTGACCACTTATAACAACATGAAATGGCTTGACCTTGCAAACCAGTTACAATGACAGTTACAACATTGGGACCTGTAGTCTAAAAATGCTGTTGCAGTTCATTGAAATTGTGAATTTCGTTGTATGGTATACTGTGTATATACTTACAATGACAATAAATTATATTATTATTATTATTATGTGTCAGTAGAGTTCAGGTACAGAAATTTTCCACTGACACATAATTCTTTCCTTGATTACATGACAATTTTCATCCCAGAAGATCTAAGAAAGCAAGTTTAGGAAATTACTGTGGAAAACGATAGGGCTGCTACTGGAAGAAACTTTTCTCCTATTGCCACCATGTCCTCCTATCCTACATATAAGATATAATGATGGATTAAAGAGTAGAAATTTCCCTGAGCTAACCTACAAGGGACTGGGTTATGATGAACATTTCATGAAGCATGATAACATACCTTTGCTACATTTGAGCAAGGATGACTTTTAAACACCTATGGCTCAATCTGGCAGAAGAAGATGGAAGTCCTGTTGGTGTTACACAGGAGCACATTTTAAAAATAGCATTTCTCACACATAGTCTGAAGCAATACAGTTCTTTTTACTCCTTTGGATTACCTGTACCATTAGATAGAGTGAGAGTATTATCTCAGGCAGCAAATTTAGGGTGTCATGAAAACACACAAAAAATTTAGTTATTAGAAGTATTGCTACTCTCAGAAATGGGGAGATGAGCAGAAAGGAACTTACAGGATTTTTTCCCCAAGGTGCCAAAATAAATTGGCTACCCTGAGGTACAGTGCACCCTTGATGTGGGGAAAGCATTATTCACTCTTTTGCCTCAGGCAACAAACTATCTTTGACCAGATCTGCTTTCATCTGGTGCTCTCACAATTGTAAACCAAGCTGCAGTTCTTTTAAAAGACACCATCCTGGAATGATGCTAAAAGACCACTGCCTTTTGGTTCTAGTGGTTGAGTAAAGAATCCACAAAAGGATTCTCCACCTTTTCGTATTTAAAATTTTTGGAGCCTTTTACAATAATAAATACTAGGTAGCCTGAAAAGTTTAATGGAGCAAATCTTATTTTTAGATGCTTTGTGTAAGCCTCTAAAAGGCAACTTTGAAGCAGAGATGGTAACTACCTAGACATCCGGAAGAAAGGAAAATAATGTCTGAGGTGATCAGGGCAAAGCATTTAGAGCTCTGGATATTGCTAAAACCTAAGTCTGGAAGTACATCAGAAGGACAGCATATCCTTTTAGTTCCTTAGATGCCCTCTCTAGGGTTACCACAGAATCTGAGCCAAAGGCCCTTGTGTAAAGCTAGCTGTTCACACACTTTTACAATGAGCAGATCAATGACAGGTCACACAAGCCTTTAAATGGTAGAAGAAGTGATATGGAAAGAGTAGCTTCCTAGCAGCTGATGAGCATAGAGCATAAGTACATCTCACTCTAGAGCAGTGGATCCCAACCTTGAGTACCCCAAGTGTTCTTGGACTGCAATTCCCAGAAGCCTTCACCACCAGCTATACTGGCTGGGATTTCTGGGAAATGCAGTCCAAGAATACCTGGGTTACCCAAGGTTGGGATCCACTGCTCTAGAGGATTCCGCAGTAAATATAATATTGTAGAAACTGCCTCATTCACCAGTGGACTTGCTTTCTAAACATCTTACTTTCCTTGAAGTCCTGTTCCCCGTCCCAGTTTACAGGAGTGACATACACCAGGGTACAGCAGGTGAGAACAGCAAGGACAGTCCTGCAACTTATCCGTGTGTTTAATTTAGTTTGCTCAGAAATGGACTCTTGAACTGAATAAGCATTTTCATTTACTGTTTGAATATTTGACTTCCTAGAAAAAGAACAAACAACTATAACTATCCTCTCACTTATAGTTCCGTAACATTAGGAAAGAGTAGCAGATATGAATAGAGCACATAGACTGGAGCAAGCAGTGAATGTATCAGGGTCTGATTTCAAATCACAAGCCTGGTGGTAATATTAATCTCCTCCTCTCTATCCACTAAGTCTCAGCACTGCCTGGACCAGAAGCACATCCTAGTTGGCAGATGCTAGTGGGGTCCATCAACTCCTAAACAATTCTGACACTCTCAGGCAAAGTCTGATCTCAAGTAAATCCAGTCTCATCTTTGGCATCTCACGGCTCAGGGAGCCTTCTGAAGGAAAAGGACAGTCTCTATGGAATGTATAGTTTCTGGGCTGAATTCAAAGGGCTTGTTCTAATCTATAAAGCCCTAAACAGGCTGGGCCCAAGCTATTTCAAGGACCACATTTCCCTCATGAGCCTGGCTTGACTGTTAAGATCATCGGGGAGGCCTTTTTCTCAGTCCCGCCACCTTCACAGTTGCATTTGGTGGGGACACGGGAGAGGCCTTCTCTGTTGCTGCTCCCAGACTTTGGAACTCTCTTCCACTGGAGACTAGGCTGGCCCCATCTTTACTGCCCTTCTACAAGTAGGCAAAGACCTTTCTCTTCAGACAAGCTTCCCATGAGTGACTGGCTGGCTGAATGAGGTTTTAAATGGATTATTGTGCCTTACCACTCTGAATATGTTTTCGTGCTGTTTATGTTTTTGTACTCACCATTGTTAGCTTTAAATACTGTACTGTCTTTTAAGGATGTAAGCCACCTTGGATCCTTTTTTGAGGTGAAAGGTGGGGTAAAAATAAACAAACAAATAATCCTCATGTCAGTTGATCATGACTTTACATCATGGTCAATTCAAGAGGAGTTATGACTTAAAGCAGT